TGTAGATGATATTTGACACTAACAAAAGTGACCATGATCAAGGGTAAATGGGTGAAACATAAAATATTTCGTAATTACTGTTTATCTGATTTCATAATTAATGATTGCCGATGTAGACTTTAATGTTTCATCAAACTTGCTGGATAGAATTAGTTAAAGGTTCATTCTTTTGACTTATTTCTGCATGGAATAAGGTTTTTCGGTGGAGAAAGGGGGAGGGAGGAAGCAGGACGATTCTATTAACTGTTTTGTGTGAAGTTACCAGCTGACAATTATGTTGAAAACTAGATTCTAATCGTATATTTGCAGGGTTGCAGATTATTGCACACAAGTGGTTGAAATGGAGCTATGGGAGGATAACATGAGGATATGGGAATGTGTAGCGGAAGTTATAAGTTGGTCAATAATGTGTGAAGTGCAACATTTCGAAGGTCCTCGACCATCACTGGGAGATTTCAAGGAAGCATTTAAGAATGCTGATGCTGATTCAAGAAAACCATACGCTCTTCTCGTCAGTGTACTGAAACGACTCGTATGTTGCATTTTATTTCAAGCTAACCGTTGTAATTTTTTCGTTAAATTCTGCTACTATTCTGCTTACCTTTTAAAGAAGAGTAGGTTCAACAAAGTTATTTTTTCTGATTGCAGGTAGAAATAGAACATGATCGCGATGGACAAGTATCGTCAACGGGAATGGCATTTGATGAAATCAAAGATTTACATTCAGATTCGTTGGTGGATGAGCTCAAATCATGTCAGTTATCATTTGGCAAAAATCTCTATCAGTTATTGCTCAACTAGTTGTCGTTATTTCTTTGAACAAGTCAGTCTTTTCTTCCACATTGTTTTTTTGGAATCCACTCTCCGGTAGTTTTACGCCTTAATTTGATGTTTATCAGAAATTTTCGGTCGGTTTTTTTGGGAAAAGGGATTCAGGTAATCCTAAACGGTTCAAATTTACAATTCTAGACCACGGAATATAGTCTAATAAAAGATTGGTCTAGATGTCAATAATTCATTACATCATGTGATTTTCATATCCATTTTAGTTTCATTTCCTATTAAATTTAAAGACTTGGAATTGAAATTCTCCATTGTGGTGTACCAGCAAGTGCTTCTTTCTTCCATGTTTGCGCAACGATGAATTTACGTCTTTTCTTTGTATTCTTGTATTCTATGTCGCTCTTCAATGTTTTGCTTCTTTCTTTGCGTTATTTATTATTGCTCGGTTTAAGCTAGTGCGATATGTGACCTTCAACCTGTACATTTTATTCCATTTATGGAAGGAATTTTGCTATTTCAATTTTCGATCAGATCTGTTTTGTATTTCTCTCTCTCACCCCACAAATTCCATAGAAAGTTGGAAAAGGGCACGTCGCACATCAACTTTCGCTGCTTTCAAGATTTTTATGTACTGCTGTAATAGTATTAGTTTATCGTTCTAACAGTGGGTCATAAGTAGATTATATGGCGGCAGCTTATTTTAAATGCTGCTAGATTGAAGGGGTTCGACTAGGCGAAATTGCTAAAATTGCAATACCTAATATAAATTCAACCACTGAAGTTCAGTGGTCACTTTCTGTTCCATGTTCCGTATAGCCTAACGAGTTCTTTCAGGACGAAAAATTTTTTCTATTCTTTTGGGATTAGTTTTAAAAATACGATGTTGCGATGAGACTGGTGTTTATTGTTATGTGATATAAGACGCTTTGGATTGTTTTTTTTCTTTTTAGCTTCACTTTTTATCTAACGTTGACTTGTTCCTAGTCGATGAAAGTGTTGATTGATTTCTCAGTTTACCGATGAAAGCGTTCGTTCCTTTAAACCGGAAGCTCTCTTTAAATTGTTCAAAAAATTTTTCAAAGTGTATCCAGCATATGCTGTTTCTTTTTCCCTTTTTTTGCTTTGTCTTTTGCCAATGCATGAATGGATGATAATTGTTTGGTGGCTAACACTTCAAGTTGACAGACTTAAGCTGTTTATGATTCTGAGAAAGAAAAATCACAATAAAATTACAGTGATTCTGCAATACATGATAAAATTAATTGTAAATTTTTCGATAATGACACTGACATTTTTCAATTTCTTTGTTTTTTTTTTGATCGACGTTGAGTGAAAAGACTTTTTTCAAATATGGGGACATTAAAGGTTTTGTCTCCGTGGACAATATTCAGAAAGTGTAATAAGCTTATGACATTAGTGCAGGGACACATCCAAGGATATAGCAAAAATGATAACTCTAAAAAATGGTGACTCCTTCATGAGCCTCATCTCTTCATTCATGAATCCTAGCAGTTATATTTGGCAAGACGGAGTAATTAATAATAGGATATTTAATATGCAAAGTAGCGCACATTACGTTTACAAATAAACATTTTTTAGAATTACCAAACAAGTTTCTACAGTAGTTTCACACAGAATTGCAATATGAGGTACTGTGTGCTAAACTAAACTTTTAACTGATGATTGAAATGAGAACTAAACAATAACATTACTCGTAATCAATAATGATTTGTCTAAGACAAAAATTTTTCAGTAATATGAATTTTTTCTCATTTAAATCATTTCGGAAATAAGCAATTGAAGTCATTGTATATCTATCAGAAATTGATTATACCACAATCAAATGATAGGAAGGAATTGCACTGTTGCAATCAGATTTATCAAAGTAATTGAAGAAGAGAAAGATTTGTTAATGTATCAACTTGAAGTCGGTGTCTGTCCGGTTAGGTTCCGGATTTCACATCACATTTACAGCGCATGCATGTAACGTGAAATTACGTTTGTTATACATTTCACTATGTTGTATATTGATGCTTGATAACTAGATTATATTGTTTTGGAACGGTTTCCGTGATCAATTCTAAATGATTCATACCGGATTCCTGAAAATAAAACTATTATCTTAGTTTTGTTAAGACATTAATTATTGCTTGATTATCATTAATCAAGCAAATATTTTATTTAAAACTAATGTCCAAATGTAACAGCTATACAATTGGTGAATCCTAAGAGCATAATCTTGAATAGTCTTTAATTCCTTATTTAAATTATTGAAAACCAGTCCTCTTTTTCTGGAAATATTTTAGTTGCGCAATTGTAATTGGATGTGCGGAGTGGAACAATGAGGCTCTTTTTTCTCATGTAGTTAAAAATGTGAGCTAATTTTAATTAATTAACCTCCATAAGCTTCAGGGCTTTTGAAATACTGGTTACCACCGTTTTAAGAAGCATTGAAACTATGCCATCTAAACTTTGAGAGTTTTTCTTTTTCTTTTTTTGAATCACAACAGGACGCTTCCCTAACATCAAACAACAATAAAAAACATTGAAATGATGATTAAAGAAGTTAGAACTTTTCCGTCAAAAATTAAAACTATCAAATTAACATTAAACTAATTTATCATCGTATTTCGTTATCAGTGATTTTGTTAAATCCGAAATTAGGGCAGTTAGAAAAGCTCACTTCAAATTTTCCGTCTTCACCATCAATTCCGCTTGTCAATTTACCGCATGAACGATAGCTTACTTTATCATCATTTTTCGAATATAACGTAAAAACATGCTTTCCTTCATAATGTTTCCTAAAATTGGAACATAAAAGTCATCTTTCCGTTATCCGTTTATGATAATCCTATTTGCATGTGCGGAACGGAACAATGTGACCAGGGAAGGAATGCATGTTAATCATATTATTTCTTTCTATTGTCATTCTTATTATCTCTGTTAAATTTCACATCATTCCATTTCCCGTTGATGTGATAGTTAAAATTGGAAATTTGTAACTATTACCATCATCATTTCATCCTTTCTGATGACAAGTTCTCGTCGTTGACATTCTGATGACATATTCTTGTATCATTAACATTTCTCTGAGAGAAATTCAAAAAGGCAAAAGGAAATAGAAATAAGATATGACTAACTTTGAGTTGACATCACTCAAAAATCTCGACAAACAATGTAATCCATTCAAAATGTTACAACTACCAAATGGGAAAATACAAAACTGAGTGCCATAATTGATGCCAGCAACACTAAGGAATGTATCGATAAGTTCGGTTAATGGATGACCCAAATTATTCGAATCATCATCAACACATATGCCACCCATTATAGCCTATAGAAAAAAAAATGAGTTGAAAAATTCCATTTGACATGAAATATTCTTAGTATAATTAGAAATTTCAACAAAAAAAAAATTTATAAAAATTTTCAAATTTCTAAAAATCTTTTTTTTAAAATTTTCAACAATTTTCTCATTTCTTTAAAATATACTTTTTTTTTGATTTTGGAAATTTTAAATTTCATTAAACATTTTTTTCTGCAAGAATATTTAGATAATATTTTAAGCATAATTTGTTCTATGATCTCATATGGTCTTTGATCTTAAATAATCTCAAAATTATATTATTGATTATAATTGAATTGTATCAGATTTATGAAAATAGATTCGAGATATATGTGTATGTACTTTTTTTTTTCGAAAAATTTCACAAAATTAACGAAAAAATTGTGTACTATTAAATGGTCTTTGTGAAATCAATAGGTTTCAATTAATTAAATAATTAATGAAGAAGCAATCAATACCTTTCGTGCAATTGGTGATCCTATTGAATATGCAATAATATCAACCTTAGATGCTGCATATGCACTAACTGATTGAATTAGCTCTCGTACCTTCAAAAATATCAAATTATAAGAATATTATGATGTAATTTAATCAAAAAATATACATTAAAATCGATCATTTAAAATTTAACCTAACAATGACTAATATTTTGGTAATAAATTTTTAAATGAAAAAATAAAATTAAATTCAGCATAAAATTTTATTTTATTTTGCAATTCAGAAAATCAGTTTCAACATCAACCTATTAATCTTTGATGCATTTATATATTTACAAATGAAATAAATTCCAAAGCTGGACGAAAACATATGATACTGTAAATGATAACTCATTTTATTTATCATTTACTGCTACAAATTTCATTTTGAATACAACAATTCATTTTATTCCTTTAACTTATTTTTTTAATTGATAAGTTAGCCAATGATAACAAATACAAATCAATGAATGCATTAACCTTTTTCACATAATCACATTTCATTGTATCGAATAAAATACCAGTTATACCTGCATCACCAAATGCTATATCGTATACTTCGTCATCATCATAATTATGTTCAAGGAAATACATCCTGATAGGATTGAACAGATCGATCTTATTTGTTATTTCATGTATCAAAATCACTGGTTCATTTCTGGATTAGAAATTTTGAAATTATAAAAAAGGATTGATAAATATCCGGTAAATTTGACATCAGTAATTCTTGAAAGATAACAGAAATCAGTTAAATCAATAATTGTATCACTTATAATAATTTGATAAAGTTCAAACAAATAAACAAACAAACAAACTTTGTCTTCTCATTAACGGTATGATTTTCACCACCAAAACTACTACCAAAATCTAAATCATCACGAAGTAATCGATCCGCTTGTAATTCTCCGTATGTACCATTTAACCAAATATAAAATGTAGACGATAAACTACCAATAACTAATTGGCATAATACTGATAATAAGATAATTAATAACAATCGTACATCCATTACGATCTAAAATTTCAAAAAAAATAGAAAAAATCAATAACTAAATCTATGAAATTAACAAATTACGAAATGGATTTTTTAGCTGAAATATTTAATAAAACGGAATAGATCTTTTGGCTTTTTTGCTTACGAATATGCTTATTTTTTCTTGGAGAAAAAAATGAGCCAAAAGATTTTTTCATAGATACCAGATTCTTTATCTATTCAAATTCAACAAAACCATTCCCTTTTCTACCTTTTTTTTTTTTGAAAACTTCAACTGAAAATTAATATGCTTGTTCAATCCAAATGCTAGCATCTCATTGATTTAATTGATTAATTAATTAATATAGTTTAGCAGAATTTATTAAAAAGAGGCAGTGTCTAAGGTTGAAAAGACAATAAATAGTCATATCTAATAAACCTCCGAGAACACATTATCCCATTATTTAATGAATAAAAGTAAAAATGATCAAGATAGGAAGGATGAGAATATAAACAATGAAGAGTAGTATATTTGCTCTGCCAATTAGCGCTTATTTTTCCGGAATAGTTCATTCAATGTTCTATGCAAGAAATCCGGTAAGCTATTTTTGCATCATACATCTTTTATTTTTCCAAAATAACATTTCAGTTTTCATTTTAACCTTTTTTTAACCTTTTTTTCATCATTGCAACTTCCGAAATTATTTCGACCAGTTGTGATTCATTAAAAAGGAAAAAAAATGCTATGATTAAGATAAACTATGGGAAAAATTCTACGGTATCCATCTAAGTACTTGAATTACGTGACCCCACGTTACTGCGTGAGTAAACATCAGAAATGACCGAAGGAATGATGCTGTGACAAATGATTGATTGCATCATACGTCAAGCTGTTCCGCTAAATCCAATTATTAGCTTTAAATTTCAAGCAGCTAATATTTGAAATGCTGTAGCACCAACTGTAACAAGTAATACGGTATACAGTATGCCTAGTGATTTACTTGATACATTTGATGATTTGTCATACTGTATTTCAACATTAAAAGCTTATCATTATCACTTCAATAGCGCAATTTTTTATAGGTATTATTAGATTTTGCATCAAATCGAAGAAGCAATTGATAATCGCCTTTTTTCACTGATTCAGTAATTTTCATATCAGCTAGTTGATTATCAACGAGTTTTGCTTGACATTACATCGTACTGATAACGAGTATGACGAGAAGGATATAACAGAAGATAAAAGGTGACTGAAAGTATTTTAGCACATCTTGTCAGGATTAACCTAAGCTATTTGATGATGCAGCAATAGTATCAATGTTTGTATGGTTTAATTTTTCATTTAAACTATCGTCTTATCTCAATCAATCAAGAATCATGAAATCCTTTCAGCCAGTGAAGAACCGTGGAATCGTTTTCAGTTAATCAAGAATTGGGGGATTCTTCTCAATCGATCAGGAATTGAAAAATTCCGGAAGGTAATATTATGAGGCCTGTCTTATTGGCTATTTCAAGTATTAGAATTCTTTTCTGCATTCTTTCAACTTATCTTTCATCTTGATTTTCAAATAGATAACAATCGAAAGTACTCGAACATGATGAGGATGTTATGAGAAGTCTCGGGAAAAAGCTTTATTGTTCAGAATGGTCGCTGCTTTCGAATGAAATTCCGTTGCATCTCATATGTCTTATCGATTGTAAGATCATGACTTAGAAATTCCTTTTTTACAAATCCGGTTTCACCTCTGATCGGACTTAATAGCGTATCGCAACCACGATAACCAATCTATAAATTCAGATTCGGATAACGATATTTTCTAAATGAGCTGGATCAGTTCACCTCTTTTTATGGATGAATGATGATGGTACCAGTACCATGTAGCATCAAATGCTCATTGCTGGTTGCAATAATGATAGTACCACATATCATGTTATCATAAAATTGCTAATAATCTGTTACCTTTTCATCAGAATCCGAGAAAATGCTAAAAACAAAAGTCCCTTCATATGCAATTTGTCCATTAATATCACGCAAAAATGTTGATCGACAATGCAAACCAGTTCTACGATTGCATACACCTACCGGTATCGGTATAATACATGATATCATACCATAGTTGGCACCGGCAACACTCAAATATGTGTCAATTAATTCGGTAAGTGGTGGACCTGTAAAAGATATTTGAGTAAAATTATATTTTCTTAATGTCTTAGAATTAAATTACATCAAAGATAAGAAGGTGAAATATTGTATTAATTATAAATTTCAGGTATTATTGAAATAAGAAAAAAAAGGACAATGAAAGTGACAAAATTTTCAAAACATAACAAGAAGATCTGTGAAATCATTCATTATTTAGTACCAAATGAACTCATACGGACTACTAGCAGTTCGTAATTAATTTATGGTAACATTCATAAAAGAATTATTCTTGAAGAACTAACCAAGAATTTCACGAGTATCAACGCAATCTCCGCCAAGAATTGCTTTTCGAGCTAACGGTGAACCCATCCCATATGCGATCACATCAACTCGTGTACCAGTATATTGACGTACAGCAATTATCATACTCCTCAAAAGAAAAAAAATAATCAGTATTCATAATTTAGGCAAATGTAGTAATGGAATTCAATTATATGTTTATCATTTCAAATTATTTCCTTTCTCTCAATCAATTTACAATAAATTTTTAACATTATATTTTTAATCTTTGCTCTATAATAATGGTTCCTAATGGTTACTCCATTGACCATTGATAATCTATGAGGACTATTAAAAATTATTTCTTTTTTTTGTTCTTTATATTATAATGTAAATGTTACTCCAAGTTTTACTAATACAACAGAAATTTTTAATAAACTTTATTTTCAAATCAACAAAATTTATTAGTTTCAAATTTAGCAATTTATGCTACAATTAGAAAAAACAAAATGTTCATTGGTTATGAAAAGATTAAAAACTAATTAACTTATTAGGAATTAATGAATTATATAAAATACAGCACGAAAATATTCTATACCTGATTTGTTTAACATACGAACACTTCAAATCAATTAATCCAATAGCTGTCAAACCACCATCACCCCATGTTGTACCATAAATTTCAGATCGATTGTAACCTTTTGCAAGTAAATGATTGACCATTCTCTATAGGTCACTCTTTTTTTCTTTTTTTTTTTCAAAAAAAAACAGATTTTTAAACTAATTTAGATTGTTTATTTTTGAATTAACAATTTTATCTGTTATTGATTTTTACCTGAAAATTGGGTAATTGTACTGATAAGAAATTTTTCCTTACAATATAATTCTGTCATATAAATTTTAGATATGAACTAAAAGAAAAGAAGATTACCTGAATCTGAAATTTATTTACCTGAAATCGAGTAATTTTATCACCGCTATCATGAATAAGTATTACAGCTTGATTATTTAACTCATCATCATTACTTTCTTTACCACCAAAACTTGCATCATTTCCCAAATCAGTACGCTCCAATGCTTGTGCAATAGCAATACCATAATTATTATGAATAAATGAGCGAAAATGTACGGTAAAATCAGCATTTACATTATGGAAAATCAGCAATAAAAACAGCAACATTATTCTCTTCAATTTAGAAATAATAAATTAAATTGAACAAATTCATTTTATTGATCAAAAAACAAATTCAAATTTAACAATATTAAAATTTAAATTAATCCAAGTTAATTTAGCTAAAATTTGGATTAATTTTGATTGATAATAAATTTATTTATTATAACAAAGCTTAGCTTCCCTACAATTTTATACAATAGCAATTTAAAACAAATTTTGGGAAGAAAAAGTAAAGGAAAAAATTTTCGTTTTTAAAATTTAAATTTTGCATAAAATTCGAATTAATCCAAGCACAATTAATTAAAATTCGAATTAATTGTATTTGGCAACAAATACATTTTTCACAACAAAGTTTTGTTTCTCTTCAAATTCATAAAAAACAAGTAAATTTTTAGAAGAGCAAAGAAAAGAGTTTTTTTCCTAAATTTTAAATTTTATACAAAATTTTCAAAATGTCATTAAAATAAACGAATGGAAAATGAAATAAGAAAAGGAATGAACAAATTGTAGGAATGAATGGGAAGATGGAATGAAAGAGAAAATGTGGTAATCAAGATGGAAATTAATCATTCAATAATGAGGACATCAACCATTATCATGAGACTGATTGATTATTCACATTTCAATGACTTTTATTGATCGGATCAAATCCAATCATATCATATCATCGATTGATCCTTTCCATATTTGAAAAGAGTTTTTTCTTAAATTTTAAATTTTATACAGAATTTTATTTTAAAAAAAACAAATGAAATTTTATGCAATTTCTTGATTTGCATTGATTAACGGATTTAGAAATGATTCATTTTGTCAATAACGCATTTTAATCAATCAATATATATTTTTCATACAATCATTTTCAATCTAATATTTTCTCCATTTTATGATAAATTAAAAAAAAAAAAAAGGAAGAATTGGCGGTAATATTTTCCTTTTCTTAACACAAAAAGAGAAAACTTAACTGAATGATTTTTTAGTTCATACTAATACTTATATCAATTACTATTGGTTTCTTCAAATTTGCATATAATTAATTATCTTTAATCCTGATATTTGCATGGAAAAAAAACAAATAACGCATGCATTCAATGAAATATCATACAACCTCAAAATTGAAAAATAATTTTAAATTTTCACAAAAAAAAACAAACTTTCACATAACTTGTATATTTTATGATGTGCATCATCCCTTATCAGTCTAATCATTGATTATCAAAATATGAGAAAAAAGAAATGCAGAATTACTTAACAAAAAGCTATTTAAAAATTGAAAAGGTTTATTTATTCGAAATTTTTTTATTCATATTGAAAATGTTTATTTATATCATATTCAAAAGTTTATTTATTCAAATTTTATTTATTTTAATATTGTTTTCGAAAGTTTTCAAGTATTTTTAGAATACTAGAAATACAAGTTTCATATCGATTTCTTAACCTATTTCAAATTTCTGTATTGTTTTTTTTATTTGTTCTCTTTTGAAAGTATCACTGATGTATCACAATACTAGTTATACGTAATCTATATTTCAGAATCTATATTACGATGATAATCTATATTTCGGAAGATATCAGCCTAGCTTCTGATTTCATCCTTTAATCAAACTGTTCTCATTTTTGCATTCGATAATTAATTGGACTAGTGATTGGAATAGTTCAAATTAAATTACATCCATAATTCTTCAATTTCCAAATAAAATAACTATGATTGCTTCTCTTTTTTCTTGAATATAAACAGAAAAAAGTATTTTCATAATTTTATGAATATGAAAGAATGTAATTTAGATAACAAATAATAATAATAATATATTTCATGTATTCTAAGAAAAAAAAAGTTAGAAATTTCAGTTAAAAATTTGTCTCAAAAATCATTTGAGAGAAGCTTTCTTAATTTTTCATAAAGAATATTCGTATTGAAATAAGTTTTAAGTCTTCCAAAATAAATTATTTCGAATTCAGTTTTCCTCTGACAATATTTGCGCTTCCAATCATTCCAATGAGACAGTAAACTCAGTCGTCGAACTTTTGATCGATTTAGGTTAGCTAAGGCATCTTAAAACAAATCCCTCCTTGATAATGGTTGAGCTAGGCATAATTTTCAATCCGCTTTTTATCAATTTATCAATATATTTGTTTATCTTTGATCATCCATTAACACAGCATGTATAATTTCTTATCAGTCTATCAATATATGCATTTATCATTTGATTATTCATTATTGAAGCATGCACAACACAAAATTTTGGCATATTTTATTGAAATTTCAATTGCAGTTTGAAAATCGATATGAAATGAAGTATAATTTGTTTCGTAATTCTTTTTTTTTCTTTAAGAAGCAATTAAACCTGTAAAATTTAATATATATTAAAAAAGCATAATATATTACAGAATTACTAAGATATGTTAGCCTATTTAAACAGTAAATTAGATATCTCAAAATAGACATATAGAAACAGGCATTTCAAATCAAACGGCATGTTTCGAAAGTTTCCTCAAACGTCAAATAACAAACATTCCAAATTTAATCGCCTGACGGATAGTTTCATCCGGATTGTAACAATGTAGAAATGATTGATAAGATAATCTTTCGTTAGCATTAACCTTCAAGAAACTTTAGAAACAATATTTTCATTGTAATTTTCGGTAAACAAAATGTACTCTTAATATATCAATTATCAGAAAAACAAAAAAGGAAACAAATTGTAAATCAAGAATCAATACAAATAAATAGATAATTTCTATTAATGAAAAGATATTAACTAGTTTTCGTTCACCCAATAAATTAGCAATACTTTTTCATTCGGTCATTTCTTATTTAGTCAAATTTCACTTGTACTTTCCACTAACTTTCACAATGAGACAAAACTTCATTTCACATCGAGCTCTTAAACAGATCAAATAAAATACAAGCATTCCCTCCTTCTTTCAATATGTAACTTCTGATATTCTGATAGGCTTGATAACTTGTGATAATAAATCAGAGTATGCTTATGTTTGCGAAAACTTTAACTCTGTCAATTATTTTTAGCCGAAAAATCAGTTGTATATCTGCAAGAAGTATATGGGATGGCAAAGAAAGTTGAATGGTTTCCAAAAAAAACTCGGAATCCAGAGGAATTTTGAACTCAAAAGATTTGATGAACAAAACAAAAAAGAGTGACACCAGTTATGAGTTATCAAACCAATCTTGACAGAAACCGGTTTCTGAATGACACTGAAGAATAAGATTGCATCAAACAAGTTACAGAAAATAGATCAATGAGTGAAGTTTAGATCTGAATTAAAAGAAATAGAAACTTTTCAATTACTGATGATCGCGTTACGCAATGATTTCGGAATACACAAGCCACGGAAGCGACCTTCAGTTATTGGTACACAATGTTCATCCCATAAACATTCGTTCTGTAAAAAAGAAAAAAAGAAAATTATTAGTTAATTTTACGACAATCTAAAACGCATTGAATCAATGTCACATTTGACCTCTTCATTAATCGTTTTTAATGTAGTTAAATTTTTTACTGAAGTTTCGTACCTTAGTGGAATCTGGATTGCATGCATTCAATGTCAACTTTCCATTTTCCAATTTTGTCATACTTGTTTGTTCCGGCAACATTTGTGAATGAGTACTGTCAACACGAGATGGTTGCATATGATCTAAAGTGATCTAAAGTATTAGATATATTTTAAATTATATTGGACTGTATTGATGATCTGATTTAGCTGTCCAATGTTGAAGGATTGCAATTTTTACAGCAAATTTGAATAATTATAAAAAAAATTAGTTATACAAAAAGTTGCAAAAAATAAGTTTAAAAACATACTTCCCATTCCAGTTCTAATTTCAAACGCATCAATAATATTGCTATTGTAAAAGGCATTGTTAATTTGCGGCAAAATACGGATCAAGTAGCGTGAATTCGGCTTCAATTGTTCAAGCACAACAGAATTCTGCAACATTTTGATTGAGATTACAAACAATCAATTAATCAATCATTCTAATCATGTTCTTGTGATCATATCACTACCTTATAACAAAAACAATTGCATTACAAAAAATATAAAAAATCTGAAATATCTGACACCTGTCGTGGATCGACTAAATTGATACGTTCCCATTGCTTTGTCGGTGAATTATTACTTTCTGCATACATAATTGAAGAACCTGAAAGTTTCCTTCAGCTAAGTAAATTATTTAGACTTAAATACCAAAAATTCTCTATTTATTAACTTGCTATTAACATTAAAAAAATTGAAGTAATAAACAGAAAAATACCTAATACGACATTACAATAATATATTTTAGTTAGAATCTCAAAAAATCAATTTTGCGAAATTTTTTCGAATTTATCTTGTCCTGTAGTTTCAACCTTTACCCTATGTCAATTCCGATTTTCATTTCGTCATCTTCTAACAACAACAGTTATATATGGTTCATTAACTTCATCTATTTACCAGTTACTTGCTGATTATTAAGGGAATGATACCTGTAATGGAGGGTAAAATAGAATTAGGATATGTCCATGTAATTTGAACACGTCCAGGTGATAACAATCGATATGATAATGCGCTTCCTTCACGATGTTCACGAAATTCAGCACGTTCTACAAATTAATGATTTTAAAATAAAAGTTATTATCACTTGAAATAAAGCTATTTTATTACTTTCGTATGATATTAACAATAAATATATTTTACGTGAGCGGTCTATTATGCAACGACATGTTAAACAAGAAAAAAAAAATCAAACAAGAAAAGATGAAAGATTCAACAAAACAATGCGTACGTCTTAAAAGTGATAGGTATGACACGTCTCATACAAGTAATCTGTGCTAACAATTCAATTATTGTCAGCTCTATATAAACTTGCAAAGCAATATTTTTCCTCTCCCTTATGATGGTACTCCTAACGTTTTCTGAATTGCAATATATTCATCAGTCTTATACTTTAAAACTAAAGTTATTTCAGGTTAAAACTTTGTTTTGAATTTGCATTTCAGTCAGTAACGATGTGCCTAAACTTTTCTGAATTACCATATATTTACCAATTTTAAATTTTAAAATTATAACTATCTTAGATCAATGGTTCGTTTTGAATTTGTAATATATTCAAAGTTACCCATTGTTCGAAATCGATAAATGGTTGGCGCTCGTAATATTTCACCATCCTTCTTACGAATATTTATCCGCACATAATATACATGACCAGGTTGTAAATTACGAAGTATGAGTGAATTACTCTCACTTACAGAAGCATCATTTGACAATTCAGACCTTCCACTTATTGGATAATATGACCATTCAGCATCCGGAAGATCTGGGTTATCGGAGAGATAAACATCGTAGCCATCAACAATGTTTGTGGGCAAAAAACTGGAATAAAGGAAAGAGATAGTCTTGAAAAAGAATGACTTCTTTCTTGAATATTCTTTTTAATAATTAAAGTGGATTGTATTTGATCATAGCATTTTTTGCATTTTTAATTCAAAAACAGCTTACATCCATAATGTGCTTTAACAACAACTTTCCAATGCAACTTATAAAAGGATAATCGAGTAAATCAATATATCATTCTTGAAAAATAGTAAAAATTTAAAGTTCATGTGAAAATTATAAGATTGAAAAAAACGATTTAGCAAAACTTGATTTACCTACTTTTCCAATGTCCATTGCAATCGTACACCATCAAGTTCATGCGTATAAATTACATCCACTTTTTTGATTGGATTTTTTATAACTACAATATATATTTGAATAAATCATAAACAAAAGAAATATCTTTCGTTTAAACAATCTTTAGTTTTTGTTTTCCTCTTAATAACCTGGTAAATAATTTCTATTCTGAATTAATTATTAGAAAGGGGAAAAGTTTGGAAAAGAAGAACTTTCTAAATTTATTTTTTGAACCAAAAAGTGTGAGACTAATTTAAAAGGAAAAAATGAAAGTGAAAATTTACCAGCTGGTGTCTGAAATTTAAACTGCCCACTTTCAGTTGTTAAATTATTGGCAAGATGTGTTCGAATTTTCAACAAATATTCCGTATCACTGCAAATTTATCAGAAAAAATTCATTGTTGAAGAAGGAAACAAGAAATTACAAGACATACAAAGCATCCGAAAGTTAAAAAGTTGTAGATAAAAAAAGAAAGGAAAAAGAAAATTTATTGCCATATTTATCGCAAAGTTTGCTAATAGATAAATCGATAAGCAATGGAATGATATTGATTATGTCAGGTATTATATCATAGTTGTGTTACTAACTAAGAAATTCAGTTTTATAGAATGATCATTTTCACAAATTTCTATTTAAAGATATTGCCAAAAAAGGTTTGATGGATGTTTCAAGCACAATATTACACCGTATTCCGCATAAATGATTACACCGTATCACACATAGATGACTATACCATATTCCGCATGAATGATTTAAGAAACCTTTTCAAGGTGGTTAAGCTTGCAGACGGATGTGAACCGTTGAACCGCAACTGATGCCAATCCTCCGCACCAGCTTCTGAGTATTGCAGTTCATAAGCTGTAAATAGATAAATTGTTAAAATGGAAGGAATGATTCATCAAAAATAAAAAAAAAAAGAAACAGAAATCAACATTCAACCAAAAAAGGAAATGAAGATACCTTTGACTTGATTCTGCATCTTTTCCGGTATTTCCCAGGTCAAATTAACGGTACCTTGATCTGGTGCTTTGAAATGTGAACTAATGATCAGATTACCCACTTCGAAATACTCATCTTCTAAATGCACTGTTGAAAATTAATCATCAGGACTAATTAGTGAGTAGTCAAATAAACGGATATGAAGCAACCAATAAAATGATTAACCTCTTGGCATTGTGATTTCCACAATTGCTGCGACAGTGGAAACACGTTCCGGACTTGTTGCAGTCCGTATTGTCAATTCATATCGCTGACCTGGTTTTAAGTTGTCCAATGTGAAACTATTCGCCTGAACTTTAACCTGCAATTTGAGAAGGGTGCTATCATCCATCTCCCATTATCAAGCTTTTACGAAAAAAAAAAAGAAAAAAAAACTCAGTGAATCACTCAACTATCTGATAAAACCTTTCCTAAAATAAATATTTTACAGGCAATTTTTTTTTTTTCTATACGTACAATTTCTCCTTCACTTTTAGATACGAAACTTTGCAAATTTATTTGTTTATCACATTTTACTTAAGAAAATTAATGATGATAACCAAAAATGACTGCTAAAAAAGACTTAATTTTGATCATTATATAAATTAAATTAAATTAAAACACGCAGTGATCCGAAACTAAATTTAATATGCAATAAATAAAAGTTACAAATCAAGTGCATTTTCAGGAAAAACTGATTGTTTAAGTAAACTTGAGAAAAGAAATTTGAAATATAACTGGTGATTACATAGATTTTAAAGGCAAATAAAACACCAAAGTTTTTTTTTCGAAATCTGCGGGTAATAATCTTATTTTAAAATATTTAACAATTAATCACAAAGTTTTATCTCTTGATGATCTGGATTTTTCAACCTGTGACTGCATATTAAATTTTTCCACTTTTTTTTGTAGTTTATAGTAATTACTCTTCCAAATCATTTCATTTTTCCATTCCTTTATGCATTAAGATTACTTTCAAATATTGTTATTTTGTTTTGTCATTTGCCAGAAAACTTGTAGCTTCAATAAAATCATGTTTCGTCTTCATCAAACACAAAATATAATTTTAGCATTGAATGTACTGTTACAATCTGATCACTTATTTTCGATTTATTTAGGGTAAACATTTTTGTTCATGAATAAACTTTTTGATTGTTTCAAATTTAGAATAATTGGTTCTTACTTAGTTATTAACTCTATTTGCTTGATATCTCTATTTCCTAGTATCGTCATATTTTCGTAAGATATTTCAATTTTTAGATTTCTAAAATAATTGAAACTCGTTTCGCGAATTCTACTCGTTGGAAAAGAAAATCAAATAATAAAGAAAAATATCAAGCAATGAAAAAGTAATGAAAAAAGTACCACGTAATAAAAGAAAGCACCAGGCAATAATAAAAGCGTCAAGTAATAAAATAAGCGTTAATTTAAAAAAAAACATATCAAATAATAAAATACACTGTTAGAGAAAGAAAGCTATTTTCAAATCGAAACAATATCAGTTTTGAATTTTTAGCCTGACTTTTTTTTTGGGGGCATCTATTTACTTCAATTTTTTAGTTTTTCTTACACATGTGAATAATTGTTTGCCTTTCAGCATTTCAAAACACATGTTAATTGAAATAACTTTTCATTTTTTTTAGAGAATTTATTGATTCATTTGAAAGTTAAAATGAAGAAAAAATTTTAAATGCTACAATTGATTTAGTCAATAAAACGGCAGTGAACTATCAATCAGTGATTGAAGCGGACGTAAAAGTGAAATATGGTAGAGATAAGTAAAGAGTTGTTTTTTAAAAAAAAAGGTTTTTAAAGTTGTAGTTTGATTTGTAACAAAGTATTGTAAGATTTTTAGGCTAACCTCAATTCCTTTTCCCAGCTTATTAATTATAACTGCATTTATTTTGCAAGCTATTACTTTATATTTAATGACACTCAACATTGGGTTGATTGATAAATCTGATATTCTATGAGCTAATTATTTTTTATTTTGTCAAGTATTTCGGTACACTCCATTGCTTTTCACTAATTTTTTCTTTTTTTGTTTCAAGAGTTATCTAATTATCAGTAGTACAACGACACTCTAAATATAGTCGTGCATTTGAAAATGTTGCGAAAAGAAGTGTTCTGAAAAGAGTTGAAGACAAATGAGATACACTCTCCTAGTTAAAACATCATCAGTCGACTTTTGCTATTTTCATTAGAAAATAGAAAATAACCTGTTGTCGAAGCAATGGTGTTCTGTCAGCGGATGTTAACTGCTTCACATTTACAATGTAGTAATGACTTACTGGAGCTGAAGAGGAAAATTTTTATTTTAATTGCATTCAATGCACAAAATTTCTAGATTATTCTCTAATAAACTGATTGTGAACAATTAATGGTTAATTTTCTAATTATCGTGAATTTACCACTTTAATTATCTTAAGTTTCCTATTTTAATTACCCTGACTTTAATAGTTATCAAATTTACATACACTATGGAATATTTTCAACTGTTTTATATCAAAGCATCTAATCTATCATTATTATCAAAGATTTGTTAAATATTGACCTCTTGAAAAACTTCTGAAAGGTGGATTCCATTCCAGGCGTACCATTGACGTACTTAATATATGAGCTTGAAAATCAAGCGGTGGCAACAAATCATCATCAGCTGCCGGAATACCGTCAATGAGAACAGTTTTGGATATCGAGATAAGTAAAGATTGTGACCAATCTTCTAAAACTGTTCCGTCAGAACGTTCAGCACGAACCTGTAATTTGCATGATATTTACCGATCTAACAAATCAATCCCATTTAATGATTCATTTTTATCTGTTAGTCATCTATTACTTACTGACTTAGCTATACCCATCAATAATCAGTTGTTTTATACTTTAAATAATATTTATTTTTCTGTTCGTGATGACTTGAAGCAAAACTATTTTATGATTTTATTTATCGCTATTCTATAGCTTGTACTTTTATTTGTTCAGTGTTCTCTCATCCTATCTAATCATTCTCTTTTTCCTTCATTTGTACTATCAACAAGCTCTACCTGTGCTTGAAGTTCATCACCATTTCGCACATCATCTAAATCCAATCTTGCTTCTAATTCTGTTCCAACTTGTGAGTACTTCCAATCAGAAGAACCATCAGGACGATTGGTAATTCGGTAACGAATCCGAAATTGCGGTTGTACTAAAAATATTATCTAGAACATCCAGCAATCATGTATATCATGCTATAAATGAAATAATTTTTACGAAAACTAACCATGAAGAATATGATATGTTAAAGAAAAAAAAAAGAAATACTGGACAGCTATAAAGTATAACGGATACACTATACAATACCCAAATCTTGAAGTAAACACGTTCAGGTATTTTCAAGCGACAAATGTAAAATAGCATAGCAAATATCTATAAATTTCCAAACAAATTCTGACCATTAAATAACCATCAATATAAATTGCATCCTTTGAATGATTTCTTTTTTTTTTTTTTTAATGGCATGATTATTATTTCTTTGCGAATATGAAAGAATAGTGAGGTAAATAATAGATGATTAATGATAAGTTAACAGTACGGATATATGCAAATTAAAAGAAAAAATGTATCAATACCCAACCTTCATTTTGTATCTGTTCTGGATATGACCATTGAATGTAAATTGCATCCGTTAGATGATCATATCGAGCACGAAAATTTTGCACACGTGATGGAACGTACAATGCATCATCGAGAGGTGCTGCATGCGATTTCAGTATTCCATGATAAGAGATGATCAGTAATGATAATGATAGATGGTGGAGAAATAATCGAAAATCGTGAAATAGTAGCATATCTTACTTATACACTTCAGATGAAATTAAAAAGGTAAGCGGTTTTTTCGTTTTATCCTTTTTTCTTTTTTCTTTTTTTTTGCGAAAATTCTTCAATGATGGGAAAGTATGTAGAGAGGAGAAGTTAAATAGAAGCAAACTGATGATGTTAAGAAGTACAAATGAATGTTTTATTGATAAGAAGAAGCATCTTATACCTCGCAAAATACGAAAAAAAAATTGATAAGAAAGTTCAAAAGCTACATTTCACGCCTCCGACAGCTTTTTTGATAATGTCATACCAACTTGTTCATGTATGCTGTATCCAGATACCATCTTATAAAAAACAAAAAAAAACCAAAAAGCAAAAAAAACAAAAAACAGAAAAAAAAGATATGTAATTTAGATTGAACGGATAAAGGACGAAAAATTTATTTCAACTCATTTCAAGGAAAAGACTAAGAAAACCAAGTAAACAAATTTATGATTGGATAAACAGGTAAGCAAGTAAAGTTATCCGTGAACACAAAAGAAAGAAAACCAATACAACAACTGCCAATGTTATTTGTTAAACGTACAAACTTGTGCAGGAAACTCTGAATGTGAATGCAAGTGAATTCAGGGGCAATTGACGTGATTCATCAGTAATGAATGGTATTAGATGAACAGATGACATATGTTATCGAAAAAACGAGAATGTATCAGCTATAACAAATGATAATTTCTAAAACAGTCATAAGTTTTGTTCGTTTCGATAAGACCAGTAACACGACCCAAGTCATACAACAAATCTGACAGCTTACAAATGATCAATTCGCAACCAGCACAAGGTAAAAAATAATTGGGAACCTGCAATCAACAATTTTTGGTACTGCATGCTCACACAGTGCCATGAAATTCCTGCAGAATTTGCGGAAAAAATATGATAATAATGTACAACAAATATTTAATTACAAAGTTAAAGTTCAATGTAATGGCCAAACCAAAAAAAGTACGCATATAAGCATTCCTGAATATGGGGATTCAACTAAAAATGCTATAACCAACATCTCTCTACTAATATAACGCTTCAATTTTCCAATGCCGATAACTAGTTTCCAGTCATCACCATATTAAATAGAAATTTCAGGGCAAATTTTCCAATGTTTTGAGAAGTGATTACAATTTTGCTTATATGGTAAATGAAAAATAAAACGTCTATTTAAATTTCTACTAGATAATTTATTTATCAGATGAGTGAAATTAGCAAACAGCTTCAAAAATCTCTTCAAACACCTGCATTTTCGCGAATTTTGCTTACCTGATGCATTCACTCTATTTATTGGAAGACTGGTTTTTGAACTACTTACAAGGCACTATCAGAATGTGTTCAATATATGAAAATTCATAACAAAAAGTAACACATTTAACAAACTGTAGGCAGCATGCAAAAAATTGCATCTCCACAAATCATTATTACAGCACGTAATTATAAGAGAAATAATAATACGTAAAAGATATGAAAATTTAAATATCCCATAAAACCAGAAAACAACTGATTATTCACTTGAAGAAAAAAATTATGATCTTCACTACTAAACATCAGATTGGTTAAGTGGCGCAACTAACCGAAATCCCTTTCATAAACGGTTAAAAAAGAAATGATGAAATTCCTTAAGTATAAGCATCAGTAGAATCGTTTCTTCGACATTTGTTGCCGATGATTGACGAAAATGACACCAAACCATAAAACCAACACACATAAACCACCACCTAATATTACTAATACTGTGGTACCAATCCATCCTAATTTTGATGCTGGTGGTTGGTCTACGTGGTCACGTGGTGCCGCTACATTTTGAGCATAAGGTTCGCGCTGTCGAGGATCTAAGGTGACAGCAGTACCATCTTGTACATGTGCAAACTCTTGCTCGAACATGCGTATCGATATGATATCATGATAGTCTGCAAAATCAAACCAGTTAAGTTATGGTGCCTTAACGAAGATATTAAAGGATGAGTGAAATAGCTGGAAGTTTTGTGATCAAAAAATGCCCAAATTAACAAATTAATGAGATTCATCCCTAATCTAGCCCTATAACATGATTTTTGACAGAACAATAAAATAAAGTTTGAAATGTAGATACCAGATAAATCGCCTGTAGCAGCTGTGATACCGAAGTAATATCCTGTAGGTAACTGAACACCGCCAACACTCATGCACTCTTTCCATTGACCGGTACCCAAAACATCAGTATAAATCTGCAGTATAAACTAAGGCAATCGAAGATGCTCCAGCATGCCCATTTTAATTTTCCAAAGAACTTTTATTTTTCCATCATTTCTGTTTTTTTTCTATTTTTTTACACATCTCATACTTTCTACTGCCACTAGTTGTCTTTTCAAAGCTTTATTTTGTGTCAACAACTTTATCGAAAACATATTCAATTAGTTGCGTATTTAATCCAATTAATCCTTCATCAATTCATTGTCCGTTTTTTCACATAGTAACATGTAGTATTCTCATTTCATATACTGCATTAATTTTCAAAAATAGAAAAATAAACGAACAGATAGCACATCGCCAACATATCGAATCATTATTTGCGTTTGGTACTGCCTGTTTCGGAATTTCGCTTCACAACCTGTATGTTCACCACCCAGCTGTGTGTGAGTCCCATCCATGTCATGGTCATAGTGGAGCGAACCATTATTAACCATTGCTGAGATATATGGATGACCATGCTAGAAAGTTTCCTTTTTATTCATTATACCTACCAATATAACTGATTGATAAATTTCGTCCAACGTAAACAACTCCAGCAGAAAAGCGTGAATTTCAGGAAATGCATGTAGAGGGAAAACTTACCACATGTGGACCGTTGTGATTACTGTAAGTATCCAGAAAAACTCCTAAACCGCGAAAATAATCTTTCGATCCAAATACAGGTCCGGCCTGGGCAGGATCCTGCACATACCATATAGCTGCTCCATCACCGAACAAATCACCAGTAGAACCATGGATTGCAAAATTCACATGCAGTTCCCAATCTCTAACATTCACCGGCTATAAACAAATGATAAACTACTTGAATATGTTCGCTTATATTCATTTTCCAAGTAAAAAAATGTAAATTATTTTGGAACACCAAAAAATCTGCAGTTCCTTATCACAAATCGTAAAAACTGCCAGAACTGTCCACTTATTTAGTGCAACATTTAATAAGCTTAAGATGCGATTACTAAATATCAATGTATGCTCTTGATGGATAGTTGACGTACTAAACATTAGATCAAAACTATGGAAAGTAAAAAAGCGAAAATTTGCATCCGATATCCAGTTAATGTATTTCTCATCCGGAAGTGCAAAAATGAGAAAATGATACATTTTACGAAAAGATGAAAAAAAAATAATCAAACAAACAACCTACCACATTATTCCAAATACCACCCTGAACGCTTTGCGTATCCGCCGTTAAACGAACATATTGTCCAGTAACCATGGTTGTACCTTGTATGTCCCAATATGGAATACCCATTCCGTTACCTTTAAATATGTAGTAAAGATAAAAAATCCGTGATTATTTTTCTCGTGTTTTCTCAAAAATAAATCATTCCCTGAAAATAGGCTCTAGTGACATTTTCAGGGAAAGACTTAGTAATAAAAGTCCTTCCCTGAAAATATGACCAACGGAAAGATAGGGAGCACCAGTACTACTCTCTACAGTCACGCTAAATCCTGGATGAGGTCTCGGGTTAACCCCCACTCCATGCTGGCCATTTCCTGGCCTCGTCGCCGACCAGCAAGGCCATGGGGAGCGCCACCAGATTTATCTCTCTGATGCTCTTCGATGCTTAGTCTCCCTGCGTGGTAAAAAAACAAAATAAATGAGAAAAGACACAGTTATTTTGTGGAGTACAAGAAAGTAATGTGGAGGATTTCCAGGGCGGAAACCTTATAGCTTTCTGCAAAAAAAAGTTGGATGTCCGATTGGTCTGGAAATGCGACCATCTTTTATTTTTTATTTTTTATTTTTTTTTGGAGTGAGAAGGGAATAATAAAAGACCCTGTCTTATTTTCGAGGAAACACAGTATCATACTGTAGAAATCTCTTCCCTCAAATGAATTATGGGAAATGAAATTTTTCAAAAAAGATGTCACTTGATCAGTATGATGTTCCCGTGTCATTCAATTTGCCAATGCATGATTCCGTACAGCTAGTTATCAACATGAAGTTTTTTGGGGATCAGATTAAACGTTTTAGATGTTAAACATTTTGCTATATACGCCACACATATATGGCAACATACGAAATAAGCAAACACAATGCAGTAACCTTGATAGGGTTTAGCCAAAGAATGTTCTTTCCTATAATATCCACGCCATTCATCAACCGATGTATCACTTAGTTGTATCTGTTCTTGTTGTTGACCATTAGCACTCATTACTTGCACTGATAAGCAATACGCAAGGAAGGGAAGGAATAAATGATGAGCTAATGGATACATGATACTCCACAACATATTATAGCTCCTACAATAAATTCGAGAAAAAAATCCAAACTTGAAATTAAAAAAAGAAAACTAATTGAAGATATTAAGAGTAGAAAAAAGTCAATTACGCTCTCATTAACTAGATCACATCATTAAATAAACTGGTCACTTATAACAGTATACCTTGACAAGGGCAACATTTTAAGTTTAGCAACCAAACTCAATAATCTTTCATTATCTATACTAGCAGAAACACATACACATATATATATTTATGAACATAAATAAATTCACGTAATACATATTTTAACATAACCAATACTGCATGAGCACAAATAAGTTTACGTAGCACGTATGTAAACGTAAATAATATTGCACAAACATAAATAAGTTCATGCATCACGTAAATAAACGTAAATAATACAGCATAGAGATGAATAATTTCACGTGACATCCATCGAATAATACTGCACAAACATAAGTAAATTAACGTATCACGTACACGGACGTAAATGATACAGCACAAACATGAATAAGTTCACATAACACGTATATACTGCGCATGTTTTGTGTTTCACGCTCACATATCCTATTCCACGTTAAATTTACATAAGCTTACAACGTATCATTACTGCAACATCCCAAACAGCATATAAACAACACCGAGAAATAGAACAGCTTCGGTACACATATTTATAAGCAATACTTCAACTTTATGAAATTAAAATATCACAAAATAGATACTTTAAAAACAGTAAAGGCTTGGAAGTTTCGATGACACAGAGAATTTGAAAATTTGCATAAATTGAAACTGTCAAATTATTGGGGTTAAATGTCACTGGTTAAAGGTATATTTGATCCATACGGTAATGAATAAGCTTTGTTTTGTATTTTATGGCATTATTATGGCAATTTTCAGCTTTTCATTTTTGTGACATTAGTTAATTGTTAATTACAAACACATTGATTTATTTCCGATTTTTATCCTTAGGCATTGTATTTTAATTACTTTTCAGTCGGTTATATTCCAATCTTGATTATTCGCCTTCCTTTCTTTTGTTTTTTCATTCAACTTCCTTGATTGATTCATGGTAATTAATTCATTTGACAATTAGAATTGTACTTTATATTTATACGAAAAATAAATCAATACTATTGCATTACTTAACCCAATGATCCTATGCGACTAAATGTTGTTTTGTTTACAAATGACACAATTTATGGTGATGTTGTATTTTTGAATTTATTTATTCAAATAATAAATGACTAATAACCAAAATGTGTTCAATACGAAAATTTCAATATTACGATCAGAATTATGAAAATAATGATAAAAGGGCAAAAGAAAGCAATTTTTTCTTGCTATTTTGAGCAAAAATTCAAAAGTCATGGAATCGATGAATATCATCATTCATTTTCTTTCTCAGGACAATGTGACAATTCATTGTAACAAATGTTGATGACCTTATTTTCATGTATGAAAAGTTTGATTGATCCTTTGTCACGATCCATTAAAGGCTTCAGATGATTATTAATGCTTTTCAATCACTCTGTATACTTGTTATTAAACTTACAATGACTCTTTTTATTCATTATTTCATTTTTTTTCTTCAAGTACCTAAATCTTGTCAAAGGACATCAACATCTCGAAACAAAAAAGGAGCGAATTTTACAAAATATTAATTAGGTCATTTAAACAAATGTTTAAATGCTGACCATGGTAATTTCTCTTTGATTTCCTGAAATAATGATCAGTTTTAGCCTTTGTTACAATTTATTTCTTCTCCATTTGGTGACACTAATCTATTGGAGAAAATAGCAAAATTAATTAGCTTATACTATCGAAAAAAAAAGAAAAATTTGTTGTAAAAAGCAAATGGACAGATGTTTTTTCACCGTATCTACAACTAAAGATTGTGTGATATGGAAGAGGGTTACAGTAGTAAGTTTAGAAATGATTAGATTAATAATTGAATGTTTGGTAAGAATGAATTTAAGGAAATGTCTAATTTGCTAATAACTATGGCTGCAATTACTATTATGCCAATAATGCTAATATGAACATTGTTAAAAATTATAATTATTATCATTGTTATTATATTTGTACTGATTCGATAATATCATCCAATTTCTTTAATATCATAAAGACATTTAAAAACTACAAATAATTCCAACGGACAAATATCTCTAAGTTATTTTTAAAAATTTTTTTAATATCTTATGAAATTGTATAGAAATTTCAAAAATAGTTTTATCCAGTTCATTTGAATTCATTGAATTCATTTAGCATTGACTATTTAAATTAAATCTAAAGGTCATTCATCCTTTTTAAATGATGATATTAAAAAAACGAATGTAAAACTTTTTAAATGAAATGACGTTTACAGCAAATGATGCAGGTGTTTGAATGTAATAAATAAGACGAAAAATTTCCCTTACTCTTATCACAACTTCATTCTATTACAGCAACCGAATTAAATATTCGAAAAGAACAAAAATATCGATATCTTATTAGAAATGTTGTTGGCTACTCATTGTTTTAAACGATATATATATATGTAATGAACTTAAGTTAATTAATTAACAGATTATATCATGAATACTTTCAACAGATATTTCTCATTAATTTAACTTTGCATAATCTTCTTCCTTTACAAATTAATGGCTGAGTATTTTTGTTTTTCCTTATGACACGTTATTATATTATTACTTTTGTAACTACAAATTGTTTAAATGTATAATTGTTCATCTACGAGCTAATACATTCATTATCAATTAATAAGCTTAAGTGATAAAAATGAAGGAAATCAGAAAGTTCAATATGACACTAAAATTTTAAAAATGTCCAATAAATTCTAATGACATCATCGAATATACCGCGTAACTTTTAATTTTTACATACTTTTATCTGCCAAAAAAAAAAAAAAGAAAAAAAACCTAAACCTTGGATATCTTTTTATTTGGCCTAAAATGAACATTTCTTAGATATCATCTCATTAAACCAAAATAAATGAATAGCATCCATCTTATATATTCAATTCTGTTCTATGCACCTTTTAGCATACTTAACAAAATCACATTTATATTTCTGCTCATCTGAAAAACTTTTGATATTACATTTATGTCTTCATTTAACATTTTATCATGCATTTTCCCCAATTATTTGCATAATTTGAAAACTGATCGTAAAAATATTAATGCAATTAAATAAACTTATAGTATCATTTTAATTAACATAAGTTATGCGAAACTTTTTCGCATATATTTCAAATAAAAAAGTTTAATATTAATGTTACCTTTAATCAAGAGATTACACATAACAGGTAATTGTAAATTTTCCATTGTAATGAGAGTAGTTTTAATATTTAATTTCTTCATTACTTTTCCAATTAAAGGAGATTAAAGAAATGTAAAAGAACGGACGAAATATCATTATGCAATTCATCATCATTTATTCCCGATAACTATTCATCCAAATATTTTTCCATTCAATGCTATATGTATCTGCATATGATCCAAATAATTCTAACTCGGAATTATCATGGATGTTAAAGTTTTTCAAGAGAAATACTTCCAAGAATCATTATTCAAATGATTTTATTGACCTATTGAACTTTGATCGGCAATATTTAAAAAGCAGAAAATTTCTTTGTATCCTTGGAAATATTTTGTTTAACGTAATACAGAGTTGAAGGATTTCCTTTATTACTATCTCAAATATGAGTAATTAAACTAATTAGATAAAGGAAACGATATTAGCGTATAATCATTAAGAATTACAAAAATACAAATTAACGCATAAAGCTAATTCTAAAAATCTTATCAATCCTGAAGAAACCAATTTGTCCTTCTGCTAATCGATAATGCCTATATGCACATTCTTCAAGGATTGGTTTCATGATTACAAGAATTAGCATCTCTCTTTAGCTTATGCTAATAAAGCCTTTTTTCTTAGCGCTTTATTAACGTAATTACTGCTGGGTTCTCATGGTACATTATGCAAATTCTATCCAGTGATAGCATCTTATTCATGTAGAAAAAACTTTGGATGATTTCAAATCTTAGTGAAAAGTAACATGTTTCAATTTGGGATATGCAAATTAGTACATCATTACATATTTATTTATGATTCTTTAAATTCTTCATTATCATAGAACTTCTTATTTGCAACATCTCCGAGAAATAGCAAAACAATTGAACTTGAATCAATTTGATTTGTAGTATTTCATTAATGAATTATATAATTTATTTCATGATGATCATTTTCAATAAATTAAAATGAAAATTTGACATTTATTTAATTTGTTCCATTTTTTTTTCTTTTTTTCCTAGTATAATTTTCTATATGAGAAAGAGAAAATCATAAGAATTCAATTGAGTAGTTGATATTTTGTGTTATTTTCTGTTTTATAAATAATTCAGAAAATATCAATCATAAGAAGCTTTGAATAATGAATCATATCTTATTCATTTTCAATACTGAAGAATCATTGAATGACCTTTTCTTTAGTTTTCCTCCTTACTTATTATCTGACGAATGAGGTCTAATTAATTTCCTTTCTTTTATTTACATTCTTTTTACTGTCACATTTAACTTGGCCAATATTTCATTCTTCTTCATTTCAATTTTTAATTTCCGAGGTGAATCAGTAAATTTAATTAACCTTGTAATTGTTGCGAATTCGTACTGTTACTTTTTGAATTACCCCTTTTTTATTTGATTTCAATTCCTGAATGATCCATAATTTCTAGATTCTTTTTGATCACTCTTCCATCATTACAATTATTATTTTATTTATCTCAGATTTTTTTTCAGGTGGTTTCAGTAAATCTTGTCCCTGTTAATGTTGCACATCCCACTAAGGAGACAATTTTGTTGCCATTGTATCCAAAATTCGTCTAAATTTTAATTTATTTTTTAAATTTTAATTTATCCGAAATTGTTTTTTAATTTTCCTTAATTTCTAACTTTCATTTATGCCATAATTTTCATCAGCAGATTTCCTTCCTTTAAATGGATCGCTAAGTTCAGCTAAGGAAATTATGAAATTAAAAGGATGAAAGGACTTATGTCAAATCTTCCGTCATTTGTTTTAATGGTCAAGAATTCAGGATGACTTCAATTTTGATGATGGATATAATCAGTTCCGTTTTTGCTTAAAAAGCTTTTTTCCACACCTCGTTTAAACATTGATTTTATCAATAATTAATCGTTCATACGTTCCTCCTTGCTATGGCATATGAGGAGTGATATACTTTCATTTGATTTTATTCTTGCTTAAGTAATAAAATGCTGATGAATCTCCTTTGAGATTCATTCCAGTGCATTATAGATGTCATTTATTGTCATAAAGTTAGGTCCATCATCACTCATGATTGTTTCCGGTATTCCACGACCAGCATTAAATCTTGATATGGTAACAGATAAAGCCTCCGTACTTGAATCCTGTACTATTTCAAGATATACTCCTCAAATAAAAGTATGTAATCCAGTCTTTAGGCGACAAAATAATCGAATCGAATATCCGTAAATATTGATGAACATTGTTGTAAATGTTCTTTTACATCGAATGGTTTATCATTTAAACAACATATAATCTCTTCATTTTTCATTATATTTCTCCTTTTTTCTATTCAAAAATTTCATCTTAATTCAGTTAATGTTTGATTTATCTCATTATGGAATGATTTTTTTTTAGTGACAATTAATGATTTTATCCATAAAAAATGAATTGGATAGATTAGAACTTCTATAACACGTCCATCGCATTTTAGCAATTTATAATTATCGGTTGTTAGCTTTTTTTTTCTTGAGCTTCTTTGATAAAATAATGTTTTGTAATTATGCAATTTTCATTGATAATCGATGAATTTTTTGAAATAAGATTGATGCTTAATTGTATCAAATATTTTTAATAAATTTGAATACTCGAATAGTAATTAGTTATTCAGGGTTATTCATTTTAGATACTAAATGAATTGGTACCCAAAAGTATTCAAATTTCAATAAACCATTTTTTTCTGGTTTTTTTTTTTTGCCAATTTCCCCGTTACTTTTGTTTTTATCTTAAACTGATATTGCTAGTTACGGAATGAATTTTTAGTTTAGACAATCAGCTAGATCCGGTTCACCATAAAGAGGTTGTTGATTTTTGTTCTTCGACTGGTTACAGTAGAATTCAGGAGGAAATATTAAATCGCTCCAGAGAAATCTTTCAACATTTTACATTTTTAGCTAATTTGTTACAAAATTAATTGCTCGCATTTCAATCGGAACTGTACAAAGTTCATTTCTTATGATTATTGTTTCATTGATAGAAAATAATCCAGTCTTTGAGAATATCAACAAACTTCTGCGGTTTCTCATCAATTACGATTTTGAAATATATGGCTACGATAAAAATATGTCATAGATTTGATACACTTTTGGAATTTTTATCAATAATTATGCCAATCGTTAACAGTTCATTTCCATTTATTAACTTCTTTTTCATCCAATATATTTGCGCCAAAGATTTTGGAATGTAATTTCGGTTGATAAAGTAAGTGATACGATAAGTCCCAATTGATCAAAAATGGAAACAATCCCTTGTGATATTGATAATTTTGTTACTTCCTGGATCAAATCTGGTAGTCTAATTCTAATTTTGTCTATTGTGATATTTCAATACCGTATGATTTTTTTTTTTTTAAATTTTCCTCTTTATCTAAAAGCAGTTAGAAGAGATTTGTTGAATTTATTTAAATTTGATATAAATTTACATATATTCATTATTGCCTTCTTGAAAATTCCTTCTACTTCTATGTTTCCATTTTTCAACTATAACATTACCAACAATCATTTCATGATCAAACTATTTTTGCTTTTTTTGTTTTTTTTTCTTTTTTTGAATATCAATACATTTTCATTATCGGTCGCAATTATTATTTCGAAATTTGAATTAGCAATTCTTGAAAGTTTATATTTCAGCCAAATGAAATTCTATTGTATTGAAATTCTGTGATAAAAACGAAGATTATCGATTAACAAGATTAATGATTTATTCTTACTCAATCATTATATTGATTCTGATATTACCTTTAACCTGTCAAGATGGGAATATGACAGATATGATTGATATAAGAGATGAGAATTACAAGACTACAAAATATGTAGCAATAATACTTTTTACCATTTTCGTACTTTGCGGTATTATTAGTAATACACTAATGGTAACTGTATTACTGTATCGAGGAAAAAACAATCAATACAATCGTGAATTTGTTCTTATCGCATTACAACTGATTATTTCTCATTTCACAGCTTTTCTTCCACAAATGGCTGTTGTATTACCTGAATTATTGCAAACTAAAAACAATTCATATGGTGAGTTGTTTTATTTACATTCTTCAAATATTACTTATTATGGAATCATTTTATTCATTTAGCTAAATATTACTTTTAAGTAATTCTTTTAAAAAATGATATTGCAATAATGAAGGAATTATTGTTAAATAAAATGTTGTAAATATGTTCCATTTCTAATTTTTCATATAGAATACTTTAGGGATAAAAAAAAAAAATTGCCTAAATGATTTTGCTCGTTCATTTTGTTTTTCCGCGACTTTTCTCTTACAAATGCTTGTTGTATTCTCTGAAATAATGTAAATTAAAAAGAATTCATATAAGTTAGGCTATTTATTGAGAAAAAGCTATGAAAAAATTATTTATATCAAATATCTTTCAATTGATAAGCTTGGAAGATAGATTTTAATTTTAACATTTGTATGAAAATTAACGGCTTAAAATTTTAGAGTAAAATTTCTGAAATATACACATTATTAGATGATAGTTTTATGTAATAAAAACTTTTATAATTAATTCGGTTCTTTGTATTATTTAAATTATATCAAATGTCTTTCAATGCAAAAGCTCAACTTTCATTACATTTGTCACAATTAATAATGCACAATTTTGATTCAAAAAAAAAAATTGAAAAATATATTTTATGGATAATTTATTTAAATGTCCGTTTCATTATGTGGAGCTTTTTCAAAGTTTATTAAATCATAGTATTTTCCATCAAAACAAACAAAAGGAATTCTTCTCTTCAATAACTAATTCCTTTTTCTTTTAGCAAACGAAACGACATGGATTAACCGAATATTCGCAACTTTCAATACTTTTTCACTCTTTTCCGTACTTCATTTTTCATTTCTATTAGCATTGAATCGCTCTGTGCTGCTAATTTTACCAAAATATTACTCTTTTTTCAAGTCAACAAAATTGTATTTTCTAATCGCTTTCATATGGTCATCAGGTTTAGGTATGATTCATTGACATCTCTTAGGTATTGATCAAAATAATCTCTCAAATAATAATTTCTATTCTTTAAGTAATTTGTGAGCAAGCTTCCTATCACTAACATTCACCCAGGTAGAGATTTCAAAATGACACTTTGTCATCGTTGATCACTACTTTACTTGTACTATGTTATGCTAAAGCAATTGATGCCAAATTTTAGAAATGAGGTTTCATTGAACTAAAAAAAATTCTTATTTAAAGTAAATTCTTAAGTAAGTAAATTCTTACTTAAATTACTTGTTTTTCATCTGTTTTCCCAGTCTTTAATATCCGTTTCCAGCAATCACATTTATCGATTTTTATTGTTGCACCAGAAGATTTCTTGTCTGGAATTTAACTTGGGAAGGAAATTGTACGAAGTCAGGTGAAATAGGCGATATTTGGTGGAGGTTATTCCTTAATGCTATTTTTATAATCCTTTATAATCCTTAGCAAAATTTTGAATTTAAGGTTCACTGTTACATTTTTATACGTAAACTTCTACATTCATGCCACTTCAGAGCATTAGCGAAATTTTAAACATATTTTAAGAATTTAATATTAATTAAAAATTTTCTATGCTACAATGGCTATCGCTTTTCCAATTCTTTATTGTTGCAGTAATTTTCAATTAAGTTAAAAATGATTATTTGTTGATTCTTTAGGGTGCGTTATTGTTGGATTTTATTCATACCTAATGCAATGTTTATAACATATGTCGCAATATTTTGTAATATACGTCGTAAACGGCATTCAACAATAAGTGACAATCAAAATCAAAGTTTGTAAATTATTATATTGTTTCTTTCTTTTTTTTATAATACATCTGAATGATAGAATCGTTGCAAAGTTAAAACTCTGAAAAGTTATTACAAAATTTATTAAATTCCTAAAATTTTCTCTCTAATCTTAATTAATCTTATGCTTATACATTAATAAATATTGTTTAGGAATTACGAAAACGAATACCAATGATGAAAATAATACGGTAAAAGTTAATCGTTGTGAACGATCCATGTTAATTCAGGCTGCATTAAATTGTGCTGTATTAGAAATTGGCGCTGTTATTTTTCATTTTATGCCATCAATAATGATTGGAATTTTTGGCGATGGAATCTATCTTGTAACAATGATTTTTACAAATTCATATGTCATTTTCATATGTATCACATTACCTATTATTCATTTCATTTACAGTAAACAATCACGTGACATCATAAAATATCACTTATATAAATGGTTACAATTAAACAATGAACAGTAAAAAAAAAAAATTAAATCAGCTATTCAAGGATATTTGAAGATAGCAATGCGATTACAGTAAGTTTGACGCATAAAATGTTTTCTTTGGAAATTATTTCTGAGAATTGAATTTTAACTCATTTACAATTTGGAATTATTACCGAAATATGAAAACTTTTGATAAATTTCATAAACTTAACTGTGCGATTAGTTCATTCATAGTTTTAACTCTTCTTTTTTTTCTTTTTAATCAAAATATAATCATATATATTCAGCTCTTTTAAAACATTTTCACATACATCATGAAGACTAATCCTATTACTCTATCACTGAAATTTAAATGGAACTTGACAAACGAGCTGTCCGCATTGACTAATTTGATCGGTTTGATTATAATGAATTCTTTTTAAAAAAAGTTTACTTGGTCAGGAAAAAATTGAATCGATTTTACGATTCGTAATTTTCGAAAATTTTTTTTTTACGTAGAAGTATTGTATTTATCATTGCTATAAATCCTCAATTATGTTGATCTGCTTTGTAGCAGCTGATTGTAACTGAAGTTATTTGGTCTTAAACTGTCTCCGCGCACGCATAACTGTTTGCTATTATAGCTCCAATTATGGAATAGATAATTCAGAAGGAATTAGGACTAATTTTTACAATAGTTTGTTCGTTATAAGTACGACATTTCAGCACCAAAACATTGTCATACTTGAACATGTTAAGGTAAACATTAAAGTAAATTAAAGTAAACGATGAGAACTTCAAAACCATTCATTGCTATCAAATGATGGAACTAATAAATGTCTTTTTTGTACATGATGGAAAGTAGCATTTTGGACTGACACCTGAGGTATCTATGAGTATGTATGTACAAAAGGCAGAAGTGCCGAAAAGTCGACTTTCTGAAGTTCGAATGAATATACAATATAAGTAATGAACACAACACAAAGGTAGTGATAACATAAAATGAGTCTAGGAAGTAATATTTGGTCTTTTTTATGGTCCAATCATTTCAGCCTTTGGCTCAATATTGCATCCTTCATAGATCATTAATTATCATTATTATTAATAATTTGTTACTACTACTAATTGTCATCATTTATTACTGTCATTATTAGTTACCACTACCGTTACTATCATTAGTTATTATTATAATCCCAATTCCATTGTCATTAATTATTATTATTATCTACTAGACGTCATTAAACAAAAATAATGCTTAATAGCAAGAAAAAAAAAGCTCATGATATTAGAACATTTTGTATGCTTACGCTGAAAAATTGTAATGCTAATGCCTGAAATTTGGTGGAAAATGAAATATCTTCAATGGACTATTGGCATTATGACCACTATGACCATTGTGACCACTGGAGATATGCGTTTTGGTAAATTACTGATACGAGTCATATGCCATAGATAGGAAATTTGAGCCAAATATAACTTTATTATAATGTTCTAATGCAGCCAGATTTATCAAAACCATGGAAATAAATTTAATTTCTTTAAAAAAAAAAAGGGAAAACCCTTAGAAATGAATACTAAGTTCCGCTTAAATGATAAACACATTTTGAATTCTATGTCAGTTTATGATTTCTGATTATTTTCAATTTTTATTTTAGCGAACTCCCGGGGTATTTTAAATGACAATTTTCAGTTGACGATTTAATTCTGTTTATTCATCTTTTCTATTTTTTTTTTTTGTCTAAAGTTTTTCTTTCTTTCTTTGCGTATTACATGCCATATTATTGCGTAATTAGGAATTTAGCGAGAACAGGAAAAAGGAATTTAACAATTTTAAATAATCAGGGTTATCTTCATCAATCATAAAATTATATTATTATCAGAAAAAAGGAATGCAATTAGTCTGGGAAGAATATTCCACATTCTCTTCTATAGTATAATTCAATGAATATTATAATCTCACAGTACAAGCACATAACGGATCCTTCTATATCCTGAATTTTTTAGTAAAATTCAGGAAAAATAATTAACATGAACAATATTTGTATGAAATTCACGGTTTGTAAAGATCCCACAAATTTTAAAATATTTTTCATATTATCCATGGATTTAGAAAAAAGCTTAATAAAGGTTTAAACGTAAAATTTTGAATGCTTAAAAGTAGGCTAATTTATGTATCATGAAGATGTTAATAAATAAATGAATATCATAGATCAAAGTTATCTTTCGTCTAACGACTTCTTGTTCAGCTATAAGAATAGGCAAATTTTTCTTTGAATCTTGCATTATTATTATTTAATATCCGGTAAAAATTTCGTTACATTAACCCTTACCATATATGAGTTTATTTAAAAAGGAAAAAAAGCCACTACTAAAAAACCGATGAAATAGCTTTATAATATTTTCAAACTGCTAAATTCATGCTCAGGTCAAATTACTGCTCAGATGAAATTTAGCTTTCGATGACTAATAATATGTAGAGAATATAATAAAGCTTTAGTACTCATATCGTCATCTATTAAATAAACATTTTTTAAATAAAGTTAATTACGATTTTCGGTGAGTTGTTATTTTAAGTGAACGACGACTTAGCATATCATCTGTTTTCCAATTCCAGTATGAATTAAAAGGAATTCTTCCTTCTCAAAATTTACATAATTTTCGTATATTTGCAATAGAATACTGAATTTTCAAAACTATGCAATGCTTCTTCAATAAAATTGTTTGAATTAATTGTGAAACAAATTATGAAAATCAATATTTTATTTCAACACTACTCATTTTTCTTGACGGAAAATTCAAGTCACCAACCGTAGGAAGCAATATATATATATATATATATATATATAACTACTTAAATAATTTCTACTTACAAAAATATCAAAAACAAAATGATAAAACAAAGATGTAATGGAAGACACTTCGAATAATGATAATGAAAAAATAATTTGAGATGTAGAAGTATGATGATATACCTCACAAAACTTCTACCAGCTGTGTGAAGTAAAATCACAATGTGGTATGGACAATGAAACACAGTACAGTCAATCATTTAAGAATCAACTGCAAATAACATGATCACAATAACTGATGGACCACAAATTAGTAGATGTAATTATGACAATTAATAATTTGCTTATTGAAATGGTATTGAAACTGGTCTGTTACAATCATCCTATTAATCTATAACAATTATGAAAAATTGTCATTAATAGTTAGGAATAAAAGACTGTCACGGCTGATGCTCAAAATTCATCATCGCTAATGAAATTATAGCAAAATTAATCATGCAAAAATACTGCATAAAACACAAATCTTAATAATTATTCCTATATTAATTATGTGATTTCTTTCTATCGTCTTCCTCTCTTATAAATCATTCCCACCATGATATCTCAACACTCCCATTGCGAATTATCCCAGTCATTAAGCGGTAATGTAGTGTGCAATACAATTATTTCGGCTATCAGAATATTATTGTATAACTCAATAACTAATTATATATGAAACGTAAATTAATGGCCTAAATATGCAAAGCAAAAAAAAATACATACGGGTATAACCATTTCTAGCTGATTTTTCAACGAAGCCTATCTAAGAATGATAGCTTTCTTCCTCTCCCTCTTGCTTCTTTTCTCTTTCTCTCTGGATGGATAAATAGGCTGAAAAACAATACAGAAGGAAGACTTAGGAATTGATATACATAACTACAATATAAAAAAGAAAGATAAAACAAAAGAAAGCAAAATTGTATATTTTTGCTAATAAGTTTGTTTCAAATTTAGAAAAGAAAAAGTGAAGACTTAAAAAGAATACGCAAATTCCCAAGCTTACATTTAATGGTATGATGATACGAAGCTGTTTCATCAACATGTGCCTAAATCACAGAAATCAGGGAGTGACAAGTGTGAAAACTCTTAATACAGTTCATTAAATAGTATATATTATACAATTAATCGTAAAAATTATCTCACTTGGATAGTAAATTTCTTTGGTTAATTGGATTAATCATAATGTGGTCTTGACTAACAAAAAGCACAAAAGAATCACATCAGTACTACTATTATGACCAAAGAAATCAAGGAAGACAAAGAGATTCGGGCAATGGTTGCGGTACAAGTGATAAATGCTGAAAATACTCATACTTCTCTGAAGTTTCTGAATTTCTATTACATTGAATTATCCAATCAATTCAGTTCAACGACCCATCATTTGGGATGTCATCCGGATTAATTACGAAAAATCCTTGAAAAGTACAATAAACAACCGATAACTTAGAATAAGAATGTTAGAGTTAAAAATGTCACATGCATTTGAAGTGACTATAAAAACTTACTAGACAGCATAATAAAAACTTTATATTACATTAGCATTTTACAAGAACTCCGCACAATACATTAAAAACTGCAGAAAAACTAACATTTAGAAGAAAGAGCCACTGCTAAAACTTTTCTACCTAACATCTAGAATAAAGTGAAATGAACAAATAAAAAATGAATAAAGCAGAACGTCAAATATTTGATACGAAAAAATACTGCCATTTATGTGACACTATGAAAACTACTTTTTCCAATATAAATTATATGAAATAGCTTCAGCTGGGGACAGAGATGAACAAAGCAGAAAGTCGAACATTTGATACGAAAAAATTACCATTTATGTGACATTATGAAAATCTACCTTTCCCAATATAAATTATATGAAATAACTTTATCCCCAAGTAATTAAAAAAAATATCTAAAAAGAACATGTAGGAACTTTTATAATGTTGTATTGTCAAGAACATCATGGACCCTTTCGAGAAGATGATAACCACCATAGACATTGTTAGAACCAGCTATAAACGGGATATAAAATGAGCGATAAATCGGGTGAGAATTGGATGACAGCAGAAACTTTTTCTTTACTACCGAACGCCAAATACTTGTCTATAAATAGTGTGAAACATTAAGTATAATACAAGCAAGCAAAGACAAATAAAAGAAATTACTCGAACACTTATTATGATTCTAGCTGAATTAGTTTGTTACGTTCTGAATTGGGACTGTAGTAGAGGTCCATGTTAGGTTTTAAACGAGACAGGAAATTGTAAATGCATTTCATGACGAAAATGGAGGAAAAACATCAAGTGTTGAAATTGAAATAATGAAAATCAATTATGGAGACAAGGATTACGAAAATACAGGAATCCTTACCTGTTTCGCATAATTAGGCTCAAGTGCAGTAGTGTCCGAAGTTTCTAGATCGATCAAAAAATCGCACTGTCTAATATCAACATATCTGAAAATATGAATCCAACATCTTTTCAAGGTGTAACAATAAATGGAAATTTTAAAGATCTAATGTACTAATATGAACAAATTTGATAGGACTGCAAGGGTTGCAAGAAAAATTAAATCATATGTTGGAGACGGACGTATTAAGAAGTCAACCATAACAGCTATTCTATGAAGTATATTGCTTAGGTCATCATTACATGACACTAACCGACAATAATCGCCTCAATTTGTTCGAATACATTTCATTATGTCTTATTATTATTCAGATTTCTTATCACATAAGGATGCCTATAGCTTTTAAATGGAGAATAAAATCCTTGAAATACAAATCTGAAAATGAATTCAGAAACTTCTGTCAGCACTACTAACCGATTAATTTCTTCCCGATTAAGATTATTCATCTCTGTTGGTATAACACGTGTAACTTCCGGCAAAGAACCTTTCACATATGGTTTTGGTAGCAAACCGGCAAATTCGCTCTTTATAAAGTCCAATTTCGCGATCAACACTTGATTTTTATTGTTTTTTATACTGGTAGGTAGAAAGAAAGAAGATGGGAATCGATACCATTCCTTACCGATACAAATATGTATCACCGTGCTATTCTAAAAGTGCAATATTATTTATCATATATTAGACTTGAAGAAAATGATCAACTCTGAAATAATTATAACAAATTTTGTGTTTTGAGGAATTTCGTTACTCAATTATTACTGTTTCAGATACGAAAAATTTTCAATAACTGGACAAAGGAAAATTAATATCCCACATTCAAATATTTGATATCTTGAACACTTGGTATATTGGACATTAAAAACTCCTTCAGTTATTTAAAAACTCACATCTTCAGCACTATATAATTCATTGCGATTACTATAATTAAGCATATGTTCATTGAGCACTTTGTAAACTTCTACTGAAGAAAAATAATTCCGATAAATCGCGGCTGATCGGGAAACAGATAGTACCGAAAAAATCAACAACCATCCAATAACGCATGCTTGCCAAAAGCCTCGTGATCTTCCGCCAAACAAATAAATACCAATCCTAAAATAACCATTAAGCAAGAAGCAGTTCGGAATAATTTGGAGAAAAAGAAATGGGAAGAATAATTAAGGAAGCAAACAAAGAATAAGCAAACGAAAAACAGCAAGAAATAAAAGAATCTAAACGCAGTATCAGGTAAAAAACTTACCGAGGCAAAGCATCAATTGTAACGGCTGCCAAAACGGCTAGAAGAGGATAAACCGGAAATAAAAACCGCTCCTCTTTATGAGGTTGCGAGAAGAATATTGCAAACCATAGCATAACTGATAGAAAAATAAAAAAGACTGGTAAAAAACGCCTCCAATAAACCAAAGACATCTCTATAAAAATTTAATTAAATTTAATTTGAACTTCATCCGGAAGAAAAAATGATGAACTTTTTTGAGGCATATCTGATGGAATAACGAAAATTAGCAGATAATCTTCAACTACATCTATACTCAGTTTAAAATAGAATCATGCAGTTTCAGTAGTTCAATGGAAATCTGAATTGATAATCGCTGATAAAAATAAAAAAGGAAAGATATCAGTTATTAAAATGATAATCATCGAAATAACCTCGAGCTACGGAATGGACTAGTTTTCGAGATGAACGTGTCCAGACATATGCCAATCCCGCAAGCGGTACCGCAAACGGGAATAGGATAATAACGACATTCCAATTAAGCAATAAATTTTTGATGTAAAATTTCACATCTTCAACACCGTAGAGATTTGGTCCATGTGATGAGAATACGTTGTACAAAACGATGTTTAGCGGAGCCTGAAAATGATACTGAAAATAATTACGAAATCCTTCACATTTTTTTGAAACGCTTCAAATATAAACAATCTTCAAGGTAGAACTTTGAGAAATCGCATGTATAAAAACAAAACAAACAAATTTTTTGAAATATTATTTGTAATGCATATTAGTTGCATTATTCGGACAAATATGAACAGGTTAGAAAAACCCGCATATTGTGGATTTTTTAATGCAAATATTCTAAATAGTGAAGCAAATAAAATCACACATATTTTTGAAAATAATCACAAGGATTTCAGTGATTTCTACAAAAATGTAAAAATTGAACTCACCAGAACAATTTTACCGAAATAATAGGAATCAACAATAACTAGTGTTATGATAATGATAGAACCAGATATTAATGCATAATTACAAAAAGCAAAAGCTAATTCACGAGGTCGAACAACTAGCATTTCGAGCACAATCGGTAAGCCAAGTATAGCTGCAAATGGCCAACTAACCAGTGCACTCAATGCAGTAAACGATATTGCTATGGGCCTAGAATAAGAATTTGCATATTTCTCGGAAATAAAAAGATTATCCAGTATCAAGTGCCAAGCCATATCTCGGGAAGATATAGTAATTGTTTCTCAGAACTGTTATGTTTAAACGGATTCTGGGATTCGTATTATTCTAGGTCGAATCAACGGTATAATGTATACTGTTCCACATCAAGATGCACCTACTCGTATATGCATGAAACAATTGCAAGAAAAGCATGTTGTGCTAGGATCTGCTAAGTTCCAATTTATAAATTTAATTTGCGAGAGATATCCTAATTTTTCTTTTGGCAAAGTACGACAAATTAGAAGAAAAAGAACCATTCTTCATTAATGTATGCTGCAATAGCGAACAAATTTGCTGACATACTAAACGATGATGGTAGGAATGCACAACTGAAATGAAAATCACAGAAATGATTTGAAGAGATTTATTTCATATGAAATGACTAATATTCGATTCAACTACACATCTACTAAATTTCAATTGAGAATTAATAGATGTTACTTTGTTCTAGTAATAATACGACTAAAAATATATAATACGATGCAGTTTACGATTTATTCGTGCCTCACCACTGAAAGGAAAACTCCGTCTTTACTTCGTCTTCATAATTTCGATGATTTCAAATAATATGGTATACATCTATATTTGCAAGATAATTATCACGAAAGAAAAATTATCAAATCTTGCGATGAAAAATTCTAGGAAAATCAAGTCTTGCAACAAATAATCCTAAAAACTAAACCTTTTCATGGAAAAAATGAAAGTATTACGAAAAAAATAAAAGCATTATTAAGTGAAACCTTGCGATAAACATTCCAGATGAAAGTGATGTTAGTACAATGTATGTCCGAGCTATACCGTTCCCGAAGCGTGAACAGAGTGCTTTATACATTTTTATTTCGGCACCTACGTTAAACAATCCCAATAGGCAACGCATTGTAATGAAAACGCCCGATTTGTTGGCAGAAAATATTTTTTTAAGTATTACAGCTGGTCCATAATGCAATAATATGTACAAATATGATCTGAAATTAAAGTTCTCTTTAAATAAAGATTCAACTGAATTTTTTTCCAGTCAAATAAAGATAATTGTTAAACAAAGAAAAGAAAGTTATGAATAAATAATAAATTTCAAATATGGAACTGATAGGCATCAGTTAGAATAACTTTACCTTTTACCACGTTATTAATGCTGGATTTCGAGGACGGTCAGAAATATGACCTGACAGCTAATCACTGAGAGTGTTACGGTTTAACGGCAGAATATGGTAGGGTATATATTTAAGAATATTACAATACTGATAAGATACTATAGCTTGTTGGTTTTATTGGACAAAAGAGAGACTGAGCGATGTTAGTTATTAACTAACATAAATGAAATGACAGTAATCATTTACTATAACTTTTATCAGCAAATAAGAACCAGAGAAATATGAATGATTTACGCCATTAGCCGTCTCCGGTAAGTAATATTATTCAGGCTATTGGTACTGTGCTTTTGGCATGCATGCAGTTTTATCATCATTGAAGGTACTGCCAAGGATTGAACAGTACTTGTAGATTTTGAATGAGAAAAAAAAGAAACAGCTATTTACGGATCCCACTCATATTAATGTAGTCTGATGGTCTAGACAAGTGGAACATAATGTCGAAAACGAGTAATTCGTCAGTTTCCGCAAATATGAATGAAATATGAACCGTATAGCATAAATTGGCGAGTACTCCCAAGTCTGAAAACCGGTACCATACAGAAATAAATGAAGAGGCTCCCAGTAATTATATACTTCATCGCAATCGCTTATTATGCTCCACATTGCAGCAGAAATTCGGAAGGAAAATACAACCTGAAATCTAGTCCACATGATCTCAGAAGAATTTCCCTATCCCTTAAATCATACTTATACTAATTGTTTGTGATAAATTTATGACGTGATGGAATAGAATGTTTTTCAAAGACTAAATCAACGTTACACTGAAATAAGACTTCAAAATGAAATTACCTTTTTAACGGTTAATCGATGTTACATTGAAATAAGATTGCAAAATAAAATTACTTTGTAAAAACTGTCCCAAAAAACCATGGGATAGTCGAATGATCTGTATGTACAAGAGACTTTTCTTGAATGTGGGTCTTATAAAATGGTGGATACGAGTGATACAATAGGATTCGAGAAAATCCGGTCATGAAGGTAACCCGTTAAATCATTTAACATTGCATTCATCCTATCATTTAATAAAGTTCACCGATTTATTTTATGAAAAGTGAAGTTAGCATAATATTAAGAACAAGTCCAAGAGAAAAATTCGTTCAATTCATGAAGTTAGGATTTCCGTAATAGAGGAAGATTTTCAAATCTAATTCTTTAAAAAGTCTCAATTCTTCAACTCTTAAAAATTTGATATGTTCAAAAAGTTGGCGCAAAAAAATACTAGAGTAATCTCTTTTTTCTTGCCATCTTTTCGAAATTTTAAAATTCAGCTAACCTTAAAAATTGCCGCAACTGATGGCTGCCATTCCAAATCCATTTGTCCTCCGGGTATGTAAAGCTTAGAAAATGAATCGAGTACCGGATAATTCCAAAGTACATTGGCTTGCAACGGTGACAGTGCTGATGGCTGTTCATCCGCCATTCCGTTATCTGTTGGTAACTGACGTGATCGTATTATCACCCGATTCGATGTACGTTTTACCAATGATAGATTCTTCTTTGCCATAATGCTGTATATATCATAATTACGTATATCACATAAATATATTTTTTCACAGATTTTACGATTCACAGGAAAAGCTTAATAGGACAACAAATAAACATAAAAAGAAAGAAAGAAAAAAAAACGATAGACGGAATATTATCTTTAATCAAAATAGGAAATATAATGTTTCGAGAGACAATTTTAATATTACAACTGCTTCTTTTTTCCTTGTAATTATAACTTACTTTGTGGCGAAACTTCAGAGAAGTTCTCGAAAGTCTCAATTTAAATAGAAAATTCAGGTAATTTTACTGCCGAATTTCATTTCTGATTTCATGTTTCTTCAGACAGTGCAAAAGTTGCCCGGGAGAAAAAAGACCAGAAATAATTCCGGAAACCAAATTATTAAAGCATGATGAAGTCCGGGGAAAGCAAAAATGCGGAAAGTTGCAAAGTCACGGAACGACAAAAGAAAACGCCTTACTGAACAATAGAGTAAATACTTAAGGGATGAGATTGTTGCATAGACCATCCGTTATACTTAAATGCCATTAGAAACTGAAGAAGTAACTGACGTAGCGTGTGTGGCGGGAGTTGCGTGAGGTCAAAGTTGGGTTGGCTCGGAGTGGTGTGAGGAGTTCGTGGCTTAGTTAGGGAATTGCTCAAGGTTGTTCGCCAAGAATTTCACTAAAAGTTTTGGCATTTTAGCGGGATATAGAATTAATGGAAGACGTTTCTGATTTGGATCAATTTAGTAAATTGCAATAGAACTGTGCAGCATCCTCATATTACGCGTCAATTTTAAGTTTTAACGATGCTGTATAATGTTTTGTCATTTATAAGATATTATTAATCTAATTAAAATCGCAATATAAATTCAATTTAGCAATTTCATTATACTAAGGAGAGCGATGTTGGTATTCAGCAGGATAAATCAAGTTTTTTGACGATGTAAATTCAATTCCCCAATAGTCTAAATGTAGTATTAATTGTTACTCATGTGTTTCGAAAAAAAAAATCTGCGTTTGACTACAGATTGTGATTTCCGGAAATGAGTGATGAGCAATCTACCAGCAATCCGAATGACATATTGGATTCAGTAAAAGTATGAGTTTGTTCTTATGAAAAATTCGAGAAGTGATTGTTGCAGAAAAGTGTTTAAATGATGTAGTTTGTTTTTCAAATTTTGGAGAGTTTTTATGCGTATTAATATAGAATTTCCCATATTTTCATTGCTATGCTTTACATAGTCCATCTAATGAAACCATCGTGAGTTGTGGCTAAATTTTATGTTATTTATAAATCTGATTTTCAAAATAAATGGTTATAGTCATTTTTTGGGAGGTTACATTACTGAGTATTTTTTCCATAGGGTATTTTCTGTTTTGTTCAAGGAAGAGATTTACAACATTTCTATTAGTGCTGTTTGTAGCACTGATAATCCAAATATTGCCATGTAGTACCAACTTGGTCATGCGTTTTCAATTTTAGTTCACTTGTATAGCTTTCACAATTTTAGATTAATTGTTTAGTATAGTATCAGTACAATTCTATATATAATATTATTAGATCTCCATACTGTCTACCTAATCAATTCTACCACAGCATTTGCTTCAGAATGTGAAATTATGTGCAGTTCGGGCTGTTGGAGAGGCAAATGCTTTACCCATGCGTACTGAAGGTTATGAATTATATGCGAGCTTTCCGCTGTATACCAATCTTATGATGGAACAGCAAAGAAGGATTACCGTTATGTAAGTTATATATATATATATATATATATATATATATATATATATATTTGTATACATACACATATATCCTTTCATGTTCTTCAAAAAGACTTCAGCTTCCCTGCATCTGCTACATAATTAGACTTTTTATTTCGTTTTCAGGTTACGTGAACTATTGCGGAATGCCGGTTGTCGAATTCCCATACCAGCGCGAATTAATGATCTAGATGAATTCTTAGATCGAATCGTTGAGGCAAACGATAATATCTGCGAACGAGCAGTATGACATTTATCAATTATATCAAAAAGTTGTGCAAAATTGTTGCTAGCTCTTCAAGCCAATTATCTCTCCTATTTATTTTAGGGTATTTTGCTTGATTTACTGCAAAAAGCTAGACGTATGGAGGAAGTAGTTGTACCACAACAAATTCTCGATGCAGAAAGTACAGCTGCATCTGAACAGACATTGTTCGAGAAGCAGGGACGTTATACTGCACTTTTGCGACGTTTACCTGGATATAAGGACAAACTTTCGTCATCAGCTGCTGTTCCTTTGCTGGTGAATTTACTTTCAGAAATTATAAATGAAATATGAATATAAGTGGTCATTTTAAATAGTTTGTACGTTCATTTTTATGAACTTGTTTTTAGAATTTATACGCCAGTTATAGTTTTGGATTGTTGTTCTGTTTTTCAGACTTCAATTTATAAATAGACAAGCTTTCTTCCATGTTTTTATTTAAATTCTGGAAAACTAAGATATGTTATTCATATTGCATAGTTTCATGAGCGGGAAATGCGTATTATACAGTTTCATGTATGACAAGTTATACGTATTACATAGTTTCATGGTATGCTGGACTTTTTGCGGTCCATATTATATTCAGTTGTTAAAAACACCTTGTTCTGAAATGTTTTTTCGAAAAGTTCAAGGAGTAACATTTTGTGATTTTTTCATGGATTTTCGGTTTTTTATGTTGTGGCTTCCCGAAATGTTCATCGTATCCATTTTTAACCTTTTCTTTTATCCTTGCAAATTTTTGTTTGGTTTGTTGGAGTAATCTTTTTAACGAAAAAATAAAATGAATTTAATCAATCTATTTATAGACGTCCAAGGAGAAGCCACAGGTCGTTTTTGGGATTGAGGTTGATAACAGCTTTGCGGAATTCAAGCCAAAGCTAAGAGAAAAACATCACGCTATGGAAAATCTCGTAAAGAATTTGCAAATCGTTGACAATGACAATGACATTGCTATTAGCACCATGTGGCGCAACGACCAAGGAATAAGTTTACATCCTTATTACAAGGAACTTCATCATTTTAAGGTTCTCATCTTTTCTTTGGCATCTTAATGGCTCTTTGAATGATCGCTAAGACCAAGTGCGTTGATTTCCTTTGATAACTTGAAATTCCTATTTTTTTCTTACAGATTCCTACAAGGCAGTTAACTGTCGGAATGGTTCAGTCGCTGAAAGCATTGTCTGATACTGAATTGGTATACGTTGATACGGTGGAGAAATTAAGAAATTTGCGAGATATTTTGAACAAGGAACAAGAATTCAGTGTGGATCTTGAGGTATCAGTTATTTACTCTGTTTCTGACAGATTCTATCGATGAATCATACTTCTCGGATGTGTTCATATTTCAAGAAGTTTATTTGAGAAATTTTCAATTGTTTTGGAATTTTTGCTTTGGTTTATATACTCTTGATCACATAAACGATTGTATTTTCCAAAAAAGGTTTTTAATATTTTGCAGCATAATGCGCAGCGTTCATTCCTAGGACTAACTTGTCTCATGCAAATTTCAACACGTCAAACAGATTATATCATCGATCCTTTCCCGTTATGGAATGATATGCATATCCTAAATGAACCGTTTACAGATCCAAACATATTAAAGGTAATTAATTTGAAATATTAGGAATTTTGAAAGTCCTGCTTTTAACACTATTTCGGAAGCAAGGTTAGATAACAATTCGACTTTAGCAGTGTTATTATGTTACGAGTCAGATTTTTGGAGCATCAGATCGTAACAATACTTAAAATTTTGTAAAAGGGTTAGTGTACTATTCTGCTTCACTAGACCGAAAAAGCGAATGTCGAGGTAATCGTTTCCTAACATTTCTCGTATCATTTTAATATAGGAGAAAGATTGTCCACTTTCCAGGTTTTTCACGGGGCAGATTCGGATATTGTTTGGTTACAACGGGATTTTGGCATTTATGTTGTTAATATGTTTGACACATATAAAGCAATGAGAGTGCTTAATTATTCCAAATTTTCCTACCAGCATTTGGTTCAAACTTGTTGTAACCATACTTTGGATAAGAAGTTCCAGAAAGCTGATTGGCGTCTAAGGTACGACTTTATTATTCTAACAAAATCTATCAGATTTTCCAATTACTTCAATTATAATAAGGTGCAATTCTCAGTTATTTGTGCAATTTCTCTCACTGTTGTATATATTCGATTCAAAAGCTATAAAACTTCAATGGGACTTGTTTTTTCTTTTTAGACCACTAACCGGTGCTCATAAAACATACGCGAGAAGTGATACTCATTATTTGTTACATTGTTATGATCAACTTCGTATAAAACTCCTCGATCAGGGAGATGCTGCTGGCAATCTGCTTGAATATGTTTATAATGAATCTGCTCAAACTTGCCTTACTGTCAGTTTTTGCAATTTCCTTTTCCCTTTTTCCCGCAAAGATTGATCTGGGTAATGATTGATGTTAGGTAAAATGCTTATTTTATTGATGATACTATGTAAGATGAAAGCGGATAGCCACCTGTTACATTAAATATGGCATTACTCTCTTCCTATCTTAGAGAATTCAATAATATTTTAGCCCTACCTTATATTTAATTTTCATCTTTTCGGTTCGTTCTACTCTTCAATTTTGTTTTTATCTGTTCATAGGTTTATAAAAAGCCGGTGTTTGAAAGCGACGGATATGAAAAATTGTTAGTGGGTAGGAAACCTTTAAATTCTCGTCAACAGTTTGCTTTGGCAGCTTTATGGAAATGGCGTGATGAGCGTGCAAGAGCAGATGATGAAAGTCCGCAGTATGTCTTGCCGTGTCATATGCTGCTACAAATTGCTGAGGTTCCTTGGTTATTTCGTTTTTCTAATTAATCTCTCTCGGTTAATAAAAGAAGTAAATTCATGGTATTATATCTCTTTTTTGCTAATCGGATTTATTTGATTGAATTATTTTTGTTAAATCCATAACAGTGGATTTTGGATAGCTGTTCGTTATTCATTCTATTATTCCAGGTACTTCCTCGGGAGATGCAAGGCATTCTGGCGTGTTGTAGTCCTGTTCCAGTGCATGTTAAGCAGGAGTTGCATGTTTTACATCAAATCATTAATACATCACGTGATCAGCCGCTTTTGAAGCGTCCTATTTATGCACCAAATATTGGTTCACTAACTTTAGAAGGTGTCACATCTCAACTGAACAAAATGAATGCAGTTAAAGCAATGTTAAGGTTGGTGTAAAAATGATAAATATGCATTTTTGACTCTGCTTTCAATTTAAAAGAATTTAGTTCTTCAAATTTTCAGTTTCTTGTATGATTGATGCACAAGACATCATTTTAATCTAAAACGCTGTCCCTAGTATATAAATTAATTGCTATTCTAATTTTAATCATGTCTGTTATATATATTTTATTAATCCACTTTTTAAAAATTTCCTCTGTACAGCATTTCTGACTAGCATTTTATTAGTACAGTAGTATCTTCTCTTAGATTCCTCTATTGCTTTTGAAAAATAAATTCGCCCTTCCATTGTTTTATCTTTACCAGGTGTCATTTGGACTTTTCATCAACCAAATATAATGAAGAAATTCGTGATATTGTTGTACAAGATGTTGACAGAGCGATATGTAAAGATGGTGCAGCAACAGGTAGTTGTGATAGTTTGTTTTCCACAGAGCTTTATACAATTGGTGAAGATAATGAAAAGGAAGATGAACGTCTAACGAAAGTCATGGAGAAATTGGAAGACTGGGCGACACCTTATGAATGCTACCGGATTGCTATGATGGAGCAAAGTTCGAAAGCAAAAATTGAGGTATTAGTGCTTTAGCTTCTTTAACTTTTTAACCCTTAAACTATATTTCGAAGTATTTAGAGCGATGAATTGTTAAATATAACTTCTACGACGATGCTTTCGGTAAAATTCCCGATGACAAAGAGTTCTCGCTAAAGTTGACTGGATTCGCAAAAATTAATTTTAAAATCTCGTCAGATAACTCATCATGAGTATGTCAGGGAGTAATTTTATTGTAGAGCAAGAAAAAGGAAGATGCAGCGAGAAGTGAACAAAGTGCCGCAAAGGAGAAGAAATTATGGTCACATCTCGATTCCGCTGCAAATAAACCTGGATTTGTTGAAGAAAAAGTGGTTTTTTATGTAGTCTTTTTCCAAAAATTTTTTTCATATTTTGTTTTGTTCTCGCTAACATTCTTTAATTCTTCAAATTTATCAATTTTGTAAGTGAATTTTTCCTTTTTTATCTTTGCACACTTCGGTGACATTTACGATATTATTGAATTGCAAATAGAAAATGAACAGAGAAGATAAAAATTATTGCAAATTATTACAAAAATTATTGCATAAAAATTATCCTTCATTGGTGTGATACTGTTTACTTAAGGCGAAAAGGAATTCTTAGTGGATTTTTTTTTAAAAAAAAAAACCTTTTACCTAACTCATTTCTTTTTGAAACATATATTCATTGCTGTGATTGCATTATAGGTGGCAGCAAATGAATTGCAAATGGAAAGTGAACAGAGGAAAAATGCCGCGAATGAGATGAACATCTGTGAGGAAATGACATTAACAAAAAAAGAATTAAAGAAAAGGAGAAAACGAGTACAATTTTCACCTACATTTTGTTCATTGTCATTTTGCTCGATTTTCCACATGGATTTTGAAATTTCAAGTTCTCAAACAAATAGGTGCTGCAGGGAGTGGGTCAAATTAGTATTGCGACGACGCAGAAGGCGAATGAAATACAAAAAAGCGGTGGAGGAGTTGTAGAGAAACGAGGTCGGAAAAATAATTGGACAGATGCAGTGGAAAATTGCGATCAACGAGTTGACTACAGTACTTTTAATCCTGAGATTTTCAATAGTAAATTTTATCCCACATTATTTACTCATTTGATAATTATTAATTAGTTTTTTCCCATTAAAATTTAGGATTCCGAACTCTATATCCACAATTGAATTAAAGTTATTTCCCAAGGAAAATATTTCCATTGAAACTATGAAAAGTGAACTTGAAAATTTCAGTAACGGTTATATGCATTATTGCTTTATTTTTGTGTTTCCCATTTGGAGTTGTGATACTTTTTCAATTTATGAGCAATATATTTATAGAAAACACTGTGTCGATATCCAACACATACGATCCATTCAAACAATGGAAACGTGGAAAATCGAAACCTCATCGTGGCCGCCGAATGATGCAGAGCGGGCGCAAACTGTGATGGATAGATAAAGCAATTTTTTTAACCTGTGATTACTAATTGTTATGGTTCTTTTTATTAGAATATAACTGGAAATGTTTAATCGGTGAAAATTTATCAACTGTCATTCATTCTGATAATTTCTGCCTTCATCAAGAAATTTAAAATAATGTTTCTGCGCTTATATTCTAGCAAGAGCGAGAGAAATACATTGACTGAATATTGGGAAAAGCACATTAATTTTATTGTGCTTACAGTATCTGAAAAATTTTTTAGAAATTTTGAGACGGTAAATATGTAATCATTACGAGTTATTTGTTTGTCATCATTTAGATGTTTTTATTGTTAGTCATTGCTTCCTCTAATATGCACTCCATTTGAAAAATTTTTATTTTTTCTTCCATTTTCAAAATTTTTCATCTCATGTTAACACTATCATAAAGATAAAAATTTCTTCAGAATTTTAAAATTCAAGGCAAATTTCAATAAATTTCGTACCAAAAAATTTTCCTCGGTAGAAATGTTTTGATTACAATTTTTATTCACAAGTTTTTTTTTTATTCCGGTTTATTTATGGCGTTACTTATGGCACTATGCAAGAAATTGACTTTTCGAGAGTTGAGTGGTGGAGAGGAGGAGGAAATTTTGCTGGGAAATTTGCCTAGAAATGAGATGAATTAAAAAGAAAATTAAATTACAAGTGACAAAATATTGATGTTAATAAATAATTTCAAAGAGACCTGTCAAGTTTCCAAATTATAAATGACAATATTGATACCGAGGAGCTTATATTAATTTCATGAATCATAAGTGATGATAATGGAGTCTAATCAGTTTGACAAATTATCACTGATGGCATTATTGTATTGGTGTCCAAGTGGCCTTGTTAATTTGGTGATATCGATTTGGCTAATCATGGATGATATATTTATGATAATATAACATTACGGAAGAGTTCTTACTGATTCCGTAAGATGATAACATATCAAATATATTGATATTTTTGTAGTTATATGGACTAGGAAGTTTGTAACTTTTGACAAGCTTTTATTATTAATAATATTTAATTAATAATACCTACTACTAATGATGTTTCTTTATTGGTGATATTTATTACTAATAACATTTAAATTGGTAGTTTTAGAAAATTGTGATTTTTTGCATCATAAAATTTATCAAAGATCAACTATCAAACCAAAGTATAAATGTAAAAATAAAAAGAAATATATGTACATGTATACATATGTTGTGCAAAAATATGCAGGAACTGTTTATCACTAATCATCATCAAGAATGAAAGAGTTTTATCAAGGTGATTAGCGACAAATTATTCATATCGATTTATAAATTCCTTCATTAAACTTATTCTGGATGAATGATGATATTTTTGTATATTAGGCATAAATGCATGGCATACAAGATTATGATTGTTAAAAAATCATAGGCAAGTTGAGATTTGAAATTGTCAAATTTCTTAATCGTGAAATTAATTAAACATAAAAACGAAATCCTTAAATGTTCTACATATTGTTTCATGTGAGATAAGATTTCGATTCAAGTGAAGATTTTTATAGAATTTGAAATTGTTCGTATGGATGAATTTATTTACAGTTTATTGCGTGATGAACGATACTGTGATATTCATTTACTGAAGATCCAGGTATTACTAAACACTTACTTTATTTCCTCTTTAATTTCTACATGATTTATTTGCTTTTTACCATGTTGCCAACGAGGGGTAAGCGTTATCAATGATATCAACCTAATTTAGAATGCTTACTTCGTTCTTACTACAATGATGCGGCAAAGCGTGCTATGCTAAATTTACGGCAATTTTTAACTTAAATCTGGAGTTTAGAGAAGTTGGGTACCAGTGGATGCTATTTGTAATGTAACATTTGGTTTCAAACTTAATGTTCGGAAAACATCTTAGCCACCACTGGAATTCCTTTCTTTCTTTTTTTTTTTTTTTTTTTTTTTTTTTTTTTTGTATTAATTGTAAGAAAAACTGAATATGAAATATGTTTTATAATTTACATGAATTACAGAAACGAATTACACTGGAGGAAATTAGAAAGTTGCAACCATACGTTAGTGTACTTGATCAAGATCCCGACAAGTTGTGATCATCAGATTCCGAAGGCATAGGATTCATCATCGTTATATGGTTGCTGATTAATTTTAGGATAAACTATGTATTTTTTGTTGAAAATGAAATACAGATCATTCAGATTTCTTCGTATTATGCAACTACTATTATTCGTATTCAAAGTTCCAAAGTTTTTAATTGTATTCAAAGTTCCAATGGAAAATCTTTTTGTATGAAATCCTTAGATAATTTTCACAGGACAAAAAAGTTAATTAATTTTCATGACCAAGTTTTCTTTTTGTTATAAAATTTATAAAGGGAAAGGAAGGAAAAGACAGGGGGGAGGGAAGAGACAAATAATTTCGATATACTGCAAGCAGATACTTTTCATTTGTGGCAAAATATTTCAAAGTCGTCGAGGATGTTAACGTCGTCGGGGATGTCAATAACATCTTCGATGTCAATATCTTCTATGTCAACAACAACATTGTCGGGGATGTTAAGACCGTTGAAGATGTTACCATCGGGCTTGTCGAGGTTGATAAAGTTTTCTGAAGGATGTACATCATTTGAGCAATCTTGTTGATCTACTGAACTTTGACCGGCAAAATGATGGTTTCGTGTGTCTGTCAAAGTATGTCCCAACTGCGGATTTCCTCCCGTTGGACCTGGAATGAACATTTATTAGATATCACTTTATTGTGCCAGAGAAAGTGAACAATTTGTTCCACTCCATGGTCATAGATACTTCACAACATATTTTCAAAGTGCATTCATTTCAGATAGATAAAAATGCTAAAAACTGCTGAATTTGCAAAATTGAGAAGCTCCGCGGGAATATTTATTATGTCTTCTCAGTGATTGCTTAAAATTGAGAAACTTTTCACTCTGTTTGTATTGACAGGATTTCTTGTGGCGGTAAAATGGTGATAGACTGTAGAATACTCTCTCACAACTGGGTTGTTTGCATTGATAGCGAAATGGTTTTTTGTGCCTTTGGAAATGTTTGTCATATTCGGCTTTATTCCGGGTGATCGCATTACAATCGGCATGTGGACACTCATACTTTTCCACACCTGAAAAACAACTGTTGTGATATTTGTGTTTGCAATTAGTTTTTTCTATTGCTTCATTTGGTAATTAACTGACTCAATTTGAGAACTGATCATGGAGATAATTGTCTGTTAATTATCCATTAGCATTTCCGATCCAGTGTTATATGTAATCCTACCTCAGGCAGTCAATGCTAAATCCAAGTTGTCGTAGATTTAAAGTTTTCTGAGAAATACTCGTTGCCCGAATGATCTTGTTTACCTAATAAGTTTTGACCGGCAATGTGATGTCTACCAAAGTATGCCCTAAATACGGATTTCATTCCGTTTAGCCTAAAATTATCACACTGAGTCAAATGAAGTGAGCGGTTAGTACCCTTTTGGTTTTGTGGATCAAATGGCGTACTATTTTTATCACTATTTACTGAGGTTAGAAAAATTCTGCAGTAAGTATTGAATTTTGAATTGTCACTTCACTGTCATAAGTGTTTTGCAATACATTTTCATGTGAATAAATACGTTAAAAAGCTCTTTTGCTAAGCACAAACTTTGCAAAACTAACCCATAATAGCGTGATATGTCCGCTTGTGGAATCGTAGTGACCGCATAGAAGAATAGAATTTGCCACAAATTTCACATTGAGGTTTAGTTTGATGTTTTTCGTAATGCTCTCGAAGTCCCTTTGAGGTAGGGAATTTCTTTCCACATGTGGGCCAAGTGCACTTGTATAAACCTTGTTTCTTGTGCGTTTCAAGGTGTTTTAAATATTCCTTTCTCATCTCCATAGTGGCATCACAATAACGACATTCATGCTTCTGCTTGACTGAAAAACTGGCATGACGTTTGTGTTTACAAATACCATTTTATATGTTAATTAATGAAATAAATTGAAAAATGACTGTGTTAGCATCATTCATTAAACCTATCAAATTACGTTATGATTAACTTAGATTAC